TACATAAATTAAGAACTGTCTCTACTGAGTTCTGAGTTACTTTGCTGCTGGTCTAGTGATAGACTGTATACAATAGAGAAACAATATCTTCTGGTCATTTCATTTAAAATGCTGATGCTTCCATTTCTAAAGAGCACCTCTGTGTTTGGGGTTAGGGATGAAGAAGATTCTTGGTTTTTAATTGAATTTGACTATGTAGATCCCATTGAAACATTGTTTCTTCTCTTTTACATATGCCCTTTATAACCTACCTTTTTATAAGTAGTTGATGTTTGAGAATTATTTTTAAATAAAATTCAGGGTTCTCCCTTATGAATTACCCATTTTGGTCAATTATACCACCTTAGTCACCTTGATTCATAATCTCAGTTGTCTTTTATTATCCTCTTATTCCATATTTTTGTGTTGCTATGGAAATAATTCTGAGTTTGGTTTCGGAAACTTGGGGTTCAAATGCCAGTATTTTCACTATCTCTTGTCCCTAGATAGGTCACTTGATGTCTCTAAACCTCAACTTCCTCTTTTTTTAGGGTAAAGGGGGTTAAACTAGATGAATCTCTGAGTTCCCTTTTCTGCTTTAACTCTTTGGTCACGGTTTAGTCAATTTGGAGCATGCCTATCTTTCATTGAAAATATTTCTTATAACCATTACTGTTTGTTGCCATCGTCCTAGTCCTTACCCTTAATGCCTAACCTCTCAGTCTATTGCATAGTCATAGGTTGAGCAAGGTCAGTAATTTGGTCAGGAAAGACCTCAAAATTATTCTTAACTCCATATACTCTGATAATTTGTTCTGGTTTTGTTTTCTGAATTTCGCTTGTTAGGTTTTCTAGAGGGGCAGGATGATAAGCAGAAAAAGCACTGGATGTAGACTTACTTGTCATGTGACTTGGAGCAAGACACAATCTCTCTGAGGCTCAGTTTCCACATATGTAAAATATAGATGATAATGCTACATAGGGATGTTATGAAGAAAGTGCTTTGAAAACTGAAAGGCCCTGTATGAATGTTTGCTATTGTACTATATTCTCAGTTACCCAGATTTACACTCTGGACATCTTTTTCAACTCTGATGTAGTACTGTGGAAAAATCACTGGTTTTGGAGTTAGAAATCCTTGGCTTAAACCCTGCCTTTGAAATTCATTATCTTTGTGACCTTAGGTAAATCACTTAATCTTTTTGGACTGGAATTACTGTTTCATCTAAAAAATCGGGGAGTTGCATTAGATAGTCTCTAACGTCTCTTTTACTTTTAAATGTATGATCCTATGACCCTTACATATTTGTTTTTTGCCCTTTTTTTCAGTAGTGTCTGACTCTTCATGACCTCATTTGGGGTTTTCTTGGCAGAGATACGGTTTGCCATTTCCTTTTCCAGCTAATTTTACAGATGAGGCACTGAGGCAGACAGGGTCAAATGACTTGCCCACGGTTAAGTAGCTAGTAAGTGTCTAAGGCCAAATTTGAACTCATGAAGATGAGTTTTCCTGATTTCATCAATGGCACCACCTAGCTACTCCATGACCTTAATGTATTTAGTTAGACAATGTTGTTAAGGATAATCAAGCCCTAGGAAAATTGGCCTGCACATCCAATACTCACCTAGAACTAGTTTATGTCAAAAAGTTAATTTACAAAGAGAGATATCTCATTAATAGGACAGTCAATTGGGAAACCAGTGAAGACCAAATGAAACCAAATGAAGGTTGTTTGGCAAAGGTATGGAATCAGCATAAGGGAGGTACTTTAAGGGAGAAGTCTCTCTGTTGAGGGCCCCTTCTGTTAATGTTGGATAAATATTCCCTGAATGTAGAGCCCCTTTTAAAATGACTTAAATTATTCCCGTTATTATTTTGCTTACACCAAAATTCACATAAAAAGATCTCATATTGAATCATGAAGTTAAGAGTCTAAGACATGTGGCCCTCTACGTCCTCAGGTGCAGCCCTTTGACTGAATCCAAACTTCACAGAACAAATCCCCTTACTAGAAGGATTTGTTCTGTAAAACTTGGACTGCACCCAAGGACCTAGAAGGCTACATGTGGCCCCAAGGCCGCGGGTTACCCTTGGTCTAGGTACTATGTCCCTCCTTCAGTTCTGGTTTTGGCCACCGATGGAGGAATATGTAATACTACCTACCACAGTGTTCCTACCAGGTTCTTCTTTTTTTCTTTTTTTTTAAGGCAGTTGGGGTTAAGTGACTTGCCCAGGGTCACACAGCTAGTAAGTGTCAAGTGTTTGGTCTGAGGCCAGATTTGAACTCAGGTCCTTCTGACTTCAGGTCAGGTGCTTTATCCATTGCACCACCTAGCTGCCCCAGGTTCTTTTTCTAATTCATGCTATACATTCTTACTGGAAAATTCATACTATACGTTCCTACATTCTGAATACCAGAATGATCTGAGATTTTGCCAGCCTGAGGTAGAGGAACTCTCATCTGTAGAGGGAGATAATCCATTTATTTATTACTTAGTAGGTAAATGCCCTGAGATATAGATATAGAGATTTAGTGACTTGTCCAGGGTCACACAATGCAGTTAGTGTCAGCCATTTTTCACTTATAGATTGCTCTAATCATTAGGAAGGTTTTACTAATATTAACCTTAAATTTTCTTATTTGCAAATTCTGCTAGTTTGAACCTATGCTTAAAATTCAATGAATTCATCAATTGGACAGTCATACTATTGAAGCAAATTACTGTACCTTCATTTGTTGGTAGACTGTTTGCAGCTGTCCCTGCAAAAATCTGATAATTTGCCCAAACTTCTGGTTGTGTTTGATTGTCCATGTACAACAGATATAATATGTTGCCCTGTCTGTAGTTTAAGTTTTTCCAGTTTGGGAGTGGGAAGGAGATTGTTACATTGTAGCTATTTTAGATCTGACCTACAGTCTGAAATTAAATGTACCTTGCTTAACTAGCAAAAGGTCTTTGTGGAAAAAAGAAATAGAAGTCATATGACTCGGTTGTGAATGAAATAGAAGTCATAAGGTAGATTGTGACTTGGTTGCGTTGGTAAGAATGGAATGAATTATTCACTTAGAATTTATTGTTACATTGATTCAGGAAACTTGTGATTTAAGCAAATATTCCATGATATATATATATATTGAGGAAATACAGATTTCTATATTAAACCACATTTTTCATTTTGCTTATTTTTTTTTAGAGTTTTGCAACTTTGACCAAATTCTGTTTGGCAGTTTTAGGCCACACTGACTTGCATAACATGAATTATGTGCATTAACTTCTGTTTTGAACATTTTTTACTCTATAAGTAAAATCCAACTCAGGTGATACTTAGTTTAATGTACTTGTTTATTTATGAAGAACAAATTAGGAATTGAAGGAAGACACTAAAATTCCAGTTTCGGAGAATTTACTTTATAGAACCAAGTGAAAGTAGGAAAAGGCATATTGAGTATACATTGCTACAAATGAAAGATAAACACATTTTGTGTAATTTCAAAATTTCTCCTGTTTCTTTTATAGATTTAAAATTTTAGAAGGTTTTAAGAGGTCAAAGAATTAGATAGGGGCATGACAGTTTAGTGTGAGTAATTTTTTGGGATTTGGAGACTCTCAGAATAGGTTCGTCATCATGGAAGCTAGAGGTTTGCTTAATTTAGGGAATTTTAAATTTGGGCTGAAGCAGTTTGTCAAGGCAGTTTCTTCTTATATTGAGGGAATGAAGGCACTAGAATCTAGCCCTGGATAACTAGCTGTGTTAACTTTAGAGTCCCTTCTCATTGGCCTTTAGTTTCCTTCTTCTGTAAAATGAACAGGATAAGACTATAAAGTTCATAGTCTGTGAACTCTGGGACTGCCACATACTATTTTAAAAGAAGGAAATATTTGAGGGGTGGTTGAAAAAAATCCCATCCCAGGGCAGCTAGATGGTGCAGTGGATAGAGCACAGGCCCTGGATTCAGGAGGACCTGAGTTCAAATTCAGCCTCAGACACATAACACTCACTAGCTGTGTGACTCTGAACAAGTCACTTAACCCCATTGCTTAACCAAAAAAAAAAAGAAAAAGAAAAAAATGCCATCCCAAGTATGAGCTTTGATTTATGCATTCGACCTGGCTCAAAATAAATTTATTTGGGAGAATAATAAATTAATAGAATTATGAACTGTGCTCTAAATACCATATTTCAGTAATAATGACATTAGTATCTGATCTGGGATATAGAAATAGAAGAAAGGTTAGAGATTAGTTAATTCAGTTACTTCATTTTACAAATGCAGAAACTTCTCAGAGACATTAAGGGATTTTTGCGCAAGGTGCCACAAATAGTAAGCAGAAGAGCCAGGAATTGAGTCCTGGTTGTCTGATTCTTTATCTAATGGTCTTTCCACAATTCTGCATAATGTAGAATCAGGAAGGGATGCTTGAATGGTGCAGATATTGTGATCTGGAAGCAATTTTAATTATGAAAATGTTATTCTTAATTCTTTTAAAAATTTAATATTTTATTTTCCTTAATTGCATGTAAAAAGAATTTAACATTCTTTTTTTTCTGTTCTAAATTTTGAGTTCTAAATTCTCTCCCTTCTTCACTCCCTTCTCCTCTCCATTGAGAAGGCGAGCAATTTGACATAGGTTATACATGTGTGGTCATACAGAACATTTCCATGTAAGTCATGTGTGAAAGAAAACATGGACAAAAAAAAATAAAGAAAAAGTATGCTTCTGTGTGCATTCTGATGCCACCAGTTCTTTCTCTGGAGATGGACTGCACCTTTCATCATAAGTCCTTTAGAACTGTCTTGGATCATTGTATGGCTGAGAATAGCTAAGTTATTCAGTTGATCTTCATACAATATTGTTCTTTTTGTATATGTTATTTTTAATTCTAAGAAAATGTAGGGTTTTTTTCTGCTAGAACGTTGTAGAGAAGAAAGCTGCAAAAATTTTAGCGATCTTCATAAAAATGTAATTAACATTTTTGTCATGTTAAATATTAATTTTTTTTATTTTTCTCCTTAAAGATCGCAGCATCATATGGAAACATTGTCTGTGTTTTTGAACCAGTTAACCTACTGAAACAAAAGAATACTTCAAATGTGGTAAGCAGTTTATCTTTTTTTTTCTTTTAGGGTTTAAAATTTTTTTTATTGGAAGATTCTTTTCCTAATCTTGTATGAATCACAGTATATGAACCAATCTTTAGGAAAATAATTACAGATAGGATTTGTATTTCTATATTGTTAAGGGCATATTAAGCAGTTACTTAAATATATTTTTCTTTTACTACAGCTATAAACTAGTTCAGATGAGCTATCTTGAAATTATTTTGACTCTACTGATTCTTTGCTTACTTTATTGATAAACATTTAAATACTTGATAAACCAAAAGTTAGCAATAGGCTATACAGTAATTGCAAAATAACCATAATCTGATCTAGTGTGATCATTTTCCGTTCTACTTCCTTTATGACAATTTCAAAGATACATAGTAGAAGATACTATGTATCTTTGAAATAGTAGAACTATGTATCTTTGAAATATTTAACACACTCAAGTTTCTTTCTTCTTACCTTTATTATACTTCGTAATTACTTATGAACAATTTCCTGTTTGCAGTAGGCTTCAAATTGGGGTAAAGAAGTGGAATGGGGGGCAGCTAGGTGGTGCAGTAGATAGAGCACCAGCCCTGAAGTCAGGAGGATCTGAGTTCCAATCTGGCCTAAGACCAAACACTTAACACTTACTAGTTGTGTGACCCTGGGCAAGTCACTTAACCCCAATTGCCTTAAAAAAAAAAGTAGAATGGCTTAAACAAAGTGAAAAATCAGACCTGTAATAAAAAGAACTGGGATTATTTAGCTGATTTCAGAATTACATGCAATGATATTATGAATAGGAAGGATGACAGAGATAAGTGACCAGTTTTTTCCTAGCTCCCTTCAGGATCTCCCTTTGAAATTTCCAAAAGAACATGAAGAATCATTGTCAGATAAAATAATAATGTACCTCATATTTACATAGGACTTTATTCTTTTCATATCACTTTATCTAGCATCTCATTAGGTGATATTAACTCCATTTTGAGGAAACTGAGATTAGAGAAGTTTGGTAAATTTGTCCGAGGTTATATACTACATTTGTGGCAGACCTTAGACTACAATCCATGTCTTTTTATTTCTAAGTCAGTGATCTTTTCATTATACAACATGATGGAAGAATTTATAATAATTAAAAGTTAATATACAGCCATTTAAAAATGTTTTTGCTATGTAAAATGTCTTTATGAAATAAAGTATCAGTTAAATAAAAGAAGCAGTTATTATGTTATCTTTCTCTTCTGAGTGCACGTAATTGGGAACCATGATAATAGTTGGGAAAGATAGAAGGAAAAGCAATTACTTTATTGGAGAAATAGTTTAGACTCCAAAAGTGGCAGTAAATGTGTATAGAGAGATTGGGCTGTTATGAATGGAAACCGATTGACTTGGAAAGGTATAATAATCCTGAGTTACTTTAGAAGAAAGTCTCAGAGAAAACATTTAGGTCCTTACAAAAAGGCAGTATCATTTGATCTTTGTGGCTGTAGATCTTAAAACGTTCTTTTATGAATAGGAAATCTTAAATTAAGCTTTTACAACTTCTCTTATTCTGGATTCTGTTTTTTATTGTATTAGTTCTACTCTAATAGCCTCTTGGTGATGAATTATAACTTAACATGAACAAATTACTTTGAGTATGAGAATCACAGAGATGAATTAACAACTAAGTTTAGATGTTAAACAGATGAACATCAGCATAATAAAATTAAATGTTAGAATGTGAAGCAACTTATGGGAGTGATGTCCAAAGGATTATGTCCTGTTATTCAACATTCAGTTATTTCTATGGTGGGGATAGAAATTATAGTGTGGAGTTTGTAAATGGGCAAGTAGTATGAAGGAAAGATGAATGAGTTCCTGGGAGTAGGCCATATTTATATCAGTTTCCTTCATCTTATTTACTTATAGCTAACTGAATTATTTGAACTTCCCTTCTTTGCAAATGATTCCATTTGCAATGGGAATAAGCAGCAAATTTGTACATTTATTGAAGAGTGGAAAGAGGTGCTCATTTTAATTATTACTTTTGATTTTAGGAATTATATAATCAGTGGCAGAAAAGTGGCCAATTTTTTCTGGAGTCCATAGCACATAATATAACTTGGGATCCCACAGGTAAGAAAACACGATGAAATGAAACGTAATATTTTGCCTAGATATGATACTGTTCTCATGTTAAATTTTAGTTTGTAAAATTTCAACTTGAGGAAAAATTTCCTGATATCCTAGGATGAAAGCTCTTAGAACATATTCAGAAAAATATATCTCGAGTTTCCATTTATGTTCCATAAATTGGTATGTAATTTTTTAAGAGAGAACATTTAAAAAGTATTATCATTATTTTGATTACTGCAGAACTGAAGGAAGGGTAATGGCCAGTGGCCTATCACTTGGCTGTAGCAGTGCTCTTGATTCAGAAGATAGTTAAAATTCCATTTGAACAATGGTAGTAAAAAAAGAATGAACATCCCCTTAGGTATATTTGGTGATGGATTTCAGTCTACATACAGTGACTGTTGGTTATCTTATTAATCTTAGTTTGTTTAAATTTCAGAGTAAGAAAATATACTTTTTGTAATTTGTAAGAGGATTGATAATCCTATGTTTGGTTTCAGAAATTACAGTAATTTGATAAACATGTAATTCCATAAACATTTAAAAAGTGCAGAGGGCCCTGCAAAGTACTGGGGAGAGAAAAAGTTGAGAAGAGTAATATAGAATAAAGCTAAGAAGGTAGAATAGTACCAGATTTTGGAAGTCTTTGAATTTGAACTTTATTTGGTAGGCAGTAGTGAGCAGCTGAAAGTTTTTGAGCAGATGAGAGATATAACCAGGTCTGTGGATTAAGTACATTAGTGTGGCAGCAATATGAAGGATGGATTGGATGGGAGGGAGAAAAGAGGCAGGATGATATGTTGGTAGGCTAATATAGTAATCCAGGTAGACAGTAATGAAAACTTATTCTAGTGTAGCAATACTGGAAATAGAGTGGTATAGAATGAATGTGAGGGATAATGTGTGGTAGAATGAACAAAACTTGACAACTTATTAGATATGAGGGAAGGGAAGAGTCAAAGATAACATCAAGGTTTCAAACATGGAAGAATGAAGAATCTGGTATTCCTGAAAGACAGTTAAATCAGGAGGAGGAACGGTCCGTGGTTAGAGAAAGCAAGGACTACATTACTTTGAGTCTAAAACAGATCATTCACTGCCTATTCTAGTTTCTAATGCACTAACCGTATTTAAATAGAAATATAAACACACTCTCTACCTTGTCCCAAATGTCTTCTCAGCAAAATTTAAAAACATCACCCCACCCAGCTCCCCTAAGAAGACACTTTTACTTGTCCTGCTTTTTTCAGTCAGTCAAGTCAGTTCCTACTATGTGTCAGATACTGTGCTAAGCCTTGCTAAATCAAAGAAAGCCAAAAAGAATTGTCCCTCCTCTCAAGGAGCTCATAGTTTAATGAGGAAGACAATATGCTAACAAGTATGTACAAATAAAAAAATTTACAGCAAAGGAAAGGGACTAGCATTAAGGAGGATCAGGAAAGGCTATTGTGTATAGCATTATTATATTATAGTGTTAAAGAGCTAAGTGGTACTGGATTGCAAAGTACGTGGTGGGAATAAGAATAGGAACACTTAGAAGATAGGAAAGGGCCAGATGATGAAGGGCTTTAAACACTAGAGTATTTTATGATTGATCCTTGAGGTAATAGGGATTCATGGGGGAAGAGGGTGACATAGTCAGACCTGTGCTTTAGGAAGATTAAGTTGGCTACTGAGAGGAGGATATATTGGAGAGATAGGAAGGGAGAGAAGGAGATTATCTAGGCCAGGGCTTCTTAAACTTTTTCCACTTGTCACCCTATCAGTGCTTCTTCAACTGTGGGTCACAACCCCATATGGGACCCACAGTTTAAGAAGTACTGAATTCTAGGCATGGGTCCAGGTATGAGGTGGTGAAGACCTTCCCTTGGGAGTTAGCAATGTCAAAAGAAAGAAGGGGTCATATAGAAGAGATATTATGAAGGTAGAAATGATAGGACATGGCAACTAATTAGATATGGGGGTGAGAGTGAGGAGTTGAACATGAAACTTAGGTTGTGAATGTGGATAGCTGGGAGAATGATAGTGCCTAGATGGTAATAGGAAAGTTAGGAAGAAGGGAAATTTCTACAGGAAAGATAATGAGTTTAGTTCTGCACATGTAGAGCTTAAGATGTCTACAGATCATCTAATTTAACATGTCCAATAGGCAGTTGGAAATGTGAATCTGTAGGTCATGAGAGAGCTTAGGGCTGGATAAGTTAATCTGATTATCATTACCCTGGAGATGATAACTGAATCCATGGGAGCTGATGAGAACACCCAGTGTAATAGGATGTATGGAGAAGAGAAGAGGGTCCAAGACAGCCCTGAAGAACACCTGTAGTTTATGGCCTGGATGAAAGTTCAGCCAAGAAAACTGAGAAGGATCAGTCCAAGGAGGGCAAAGTAGGGTAGCAAAAACCTAGAGGAAAAAAAGAGTACAAGGAAAAAGAGGGTGATTGACATTGTCAAAGGCAACAAGTAGTCAAGAAAGATGAAGATTGAGAAAATCTCATTAGATCTGACAATTAATAGATCATTGGTGATTCTGGAGAGAGCATTTTCAGTAGAAGAATGAAACTGGAAGCCAGAATGCAATGAAAGGAAGGGAAGTAAGCCACTGATTGTAGATTGCCTTCTGAAGTTGTTTAGCCATGAAAGAGAAAGACATGTGATGATTGCTAGCAGGAATGGACAGTTGGTCAGATGAGGATTTTTTGAGGATGAGGGGAACATAGGCATGTTTGGAGTCAGTATGGAAGCATCCAGTAGATGGGGAGTGATTGAAGTTTAGTGAGAGAGTAGGAATTATAGAGGAGCCAGTCTTCTGGAGAAGACAGAATGGATCACTTTTGCATGTATAGTGGTTTGCCTTGCCATGTGAGACAAGGGTGAAGGAGGAGATAGTGGCAAAAGTCATTTGCACGGTGTGAGATGAGAAGAGAAAGGGAGAAGACAGCCCTCGGGAAATGACCTAAATTTGTTTTTCAGTGGATATAAGGCAAAGTTCTTAGCTGAGAGAGTGGAGGGAGAGGGAAACCATGGAATATTCCATAAAACTTCAATATGTGTGTGGAGTATATAGTACATATAATATTGTGTAGAGAAACAATAAATTATGTCCCATATCATTTCAGGCAGTCGTCTCTTAACTGGTTCTAGCTGTTTGCAACTTTGGTCAAATAATAACTTAGAGAAGCAATCTGAAGATGAAAATCCTGAAAAAGCAGATCTTAATTTTGGAGACTGGCGATGTATCTGGCAGTGTAGGTAAGTTGCATATGTGCAAATGAAATCTATTTTTAAATTATTTTAATGTCATAGATTTGTAGAACTAGAGGGAACATCAGATACTATCTAGTCTTAATCACTGTATTTTCCAGAAAGGAATGTTAAAAACCAGGGAAGTTATGACTTGACTGAAGTCATACAGGTAATAAGAGTCAAAAGTCCTATTCAAAAATGAAGGATGACTGCCCTACAGGAAAATAGAAGGGGATAAGAGGGGGGGGGTGATAGAAGGGAGGGCAGATTAGGGGAAAGGCTATTCAGACTGCATTGCCATCTTGGAGTAGGGGAAGGGGGGAGATGGGGAGAAAATTTGGAACTCAAAATCTTGTGGAAGTGAATGTTGAAAACTAAAAATAATAAATTAATAAAAATAAAACTACAAAAATGAAGAATAAACAACAAGCAGTCAGGGGTAGGATTTGAACTCAGGATGTCTTCTGACCCCAGAGGCACTGATTTTTCCACTTTACCACAATATATTTGAAAATGTTTGATAGCTCTTCCTTAATTTAACTTTTAGGCATTAGAAGTCACTGTAAAATCAAAAAGGGTGTGGGGAAGATAGGTTTCATTACTCTTCATTTGGAATTCCTTTTCTTCCCTCTTATTCCCCATACATAAGAATAGTTCTACAAATCTCTTTATATAGCATCTATATCTATCTATCTATCTATATGTCTGTCTGTCTGTCTATCTATCTATCTTTTTTTTTTTAAAGACAAAGCCCAAACCCTTCCATGTTTGTAAAATTTGGGAAAGGATGTTATCTTGTTTAGTGTTAAGTGGGAAAGGATTAGCTATTATCTCTCTAAAGATGGATGGGGTAGGAGGTGGGTGGGGAAAGGAGGAGAAATTAAGTAGGTAGATAAAATAATAATGGGAAATAAACTAGATATTGTTTTGAATGAATTAAAGGACAGTTTTAATAGTCTCAAAAAAGTATCAGAGAAGATTGTATTTTAATCAGTCAGTGCCCATATCTAGTACTGCTCTTGGTCAGTTAAACCCCATCAGATAATTTAGCTTGGAAAATACTGCTGTTACTAGTCCAAATTTCTTGATGTTGGAAAGTATTTATGAAATTCTAGAAATCTAGTCACCAGCAGCTCTGTTTTTGAAATCTCAGCTTTTCTGGGGGGGAGAAGCCTATGTTGTAGCTTACTTATTACTGACCATAAGAATCCAGGTTTTAAAATTAACTCTCTGTCCTTAAAGCTTCCATCTTTAAAGCGATAATTCTTTATGTATTTTGTATTACTATATAGAATTGATATAAAGATTTTGACTTTTGAAATCATCTTAGGTTTTAACTCATTTGATACCTCATTTTCTAAATCTTGAAGTTTTTTATTGGCTTCTGTTTGTAAGATGTTGAGAGAATATAGCAGTGGATTTGATGCTAGAGCAATGCATGTTCAGGTAAGCAATGAATTTCTCATTGGCAATGAAATAGATTGCTCAGGTATAATCTAGAAAAGTAGTATTGAATGCTTCCTTAATTTTGTCATCCTTGAAATGCTTAGTGATGAAGGTAATTGCTTGTATATTTTATAGGACTGCTTCTCAAGTTCATTTAATGAGATTTTCACCTGATGGAGAATTTTTTGCTACTGCAGGAAAGGTAAATATTAAAGCTTCTGACTATATGTTGTTTTGTATTTAGAGAAGGAGAATACAACATTATTGTCATTGGCTTGATTTTATTTGGGTAACTTTAGGTAACTAAACGGTTCTTTCACATGAACGAAATTCAGACTGCAAATATATTTTAGACTGGTGTTAGGACCATTCTTTAAAGTGCAGCAACTATATTTAAAAGCAGAAACCTGTATCGTATAACATGAATTGTTTGAAAGGCATTTGCAAATATTTCTTGCTTGTGCACATTGTGAGGTAAGCCATTGCTGCAAGAGTACGTGTCACAGAAAGCAGTTTTATATTCACAGTTCTCTATTTTGCACTGAAGTATCCTCCAAATAATAGTATCTCAAAGGCTGTTTTAAATTGTAAGAGTGGGTTACAATTGTATATAGTTTCTACGTATAGTTTCTAGCCAGAAAGAAAAACAAGGAAGTTTACTTTAATATTCTGTTAGAAATTCATCGTGAGATCCTTGGGCAGATCAGGTCTCCATAGTTTGCTCTATGCTTCTCACTATACCAGACCTCCATGTCTTTCCTGTTTCCCTTCTCCTTCATTAGAAATTGATAAAGATCTGGTAGCCAAGCTTAGATCTGGTTAAAAAAAAAATTAGGTGGCTTTTGGTTTGGGGAGGAGAGGACCTGCTTGCTGCAGGTTCAAAAATAGTTTCTGAAAAATTAGAGTACTGCTACAAGTTGTTCATTTTTGACAATTTAAAAAGAACAAAATGAAACAAAAATACCTTAACAGTAGTAGTACAATAATAGTATCCAGGTAGAAGTATAAATAAAACTTGAGATCCTGAGTTTAAGATAGCTCAAATATAGACTCATATCTATTTTTGAAATATTTTTGCTTCTGATGGTCACTTAATTGAATGGAAAATTATCTAAATATTAATATACATTTAACATAATTTTATTAACTTCATATCATTTTCCTTAAAATTTCCTTTAAAAAAAGTTATAAGCCTTCCAAAGCATCTATGTCCTTAAACATTAGGAACCTGTACCCATGAATGAATAATGTTTTATGACTTCAGAAGAAATGAACAGAGGAAAAAAGTCCATTACTTCATATTGTGCAATGGAAACAGAATTTAACATGGAGACGAAAGCCATGGTTTTGCAATCTGACCTCACTGTTTATTAGCCTGGGGACCTCTGGCCCTTTATCTGACCACAATCAATTGGCTTTCAACCTCTCCCTCTGCCTTCCCTCACCAAACCCACATGATAACCTTCCATCTCATGTGACTTAGTTCTCTCCCGGGACCTTTGCCTTAGTCACTTTCTCCTTGTCCTCTTGAGTCACTTTGCCCATTATGCATTGTTCAGCCTCAACCTTGTATCACTCCCACTGTCTTTGCTCCCATACATGTGCTGCTGAATGAAGGTAGAGAAAAATCTGTCAGTTGTCCTTTACAATTTGTCATACAACCTCAACTGGGTCCTCAGTATTGCTAGACAATACTAATACTCCTCCCTTTTTAACTTATCACATTTTACAGAAAAAAATTAAGCCATTTGTTTTGAGTTCCTTCTTCTTCATCTCATGTCACTTAACTACCTTCTGCCAGTTGGTGGCTCAGTAGATGCAGCACTATGCCTGGAGTCAGGAAGACTCATCCTCCTGTGTTCAAATTTGGCCTTAGAAAATTACTAGCTGTGTGACCCTGGACAAGTCACTTAAACCTGTTTGCCTCAGATTCCTCATCTGTAAAATGAGCTTAAAAAGGAAATGGCAGGGGCAGCTAGGTGGTGCAGTGGATAGAGCACCGGACCTGGAGTCAGGAGGACCTGAGTTCAAATGCGACCTCAGACACTAACATTTATTAGCTGTATGACTCTGGCCAAGTCACTTAATCTCAATTGCCTCACCCCCCCCAAAAAAAAAAGTAAAAAGGAAATGGTAAACCACTCTCGTATCTCTGCCAGCAAAACCTCAAACGGGGTCACAAAGAGTCAGACACAACTGAATCGACTGAATAACAACGAGCCATTAACTCTTCCTTCACCTCTGTCACCTCATGATGAGATGGCCCTACTCTTTATGAAGGTGAACCCCTTTTTTTCCTCAAGTGATCCCATTCCATCCCATCTCTTCCAACAGATTGCCCTTTCTGTTATTCTCACTCTTTTATTTTCAATCTTTCCCTCCACTGGCTCCTTCCCTGTTGTGTACAAACATGCCCATTCTCCCCATCCTGAAAAAAACCTCATTTGATCTTTCATCCTCTGTCTCTTTTGCCCTTTGTAGCCAAACTCCTCAAAAGGTCCTCCATTCCCTTTGCTCTCACTCTCTTTACTCTCTACAGTCTGACTTCCAGCCCCATCATTCAACAGAAACTTCTCTTTCCAGAATTACCAGTGATCTCAGAATAGCCATATCCAAAGACCTTTTCTCAATCCTCATTCTCCTTGACCTCTCTACAGCCTTTGAGACTGTTGATCACTTTCTTCTTTTTAATACTCTCTTCTTTCCAGGTTTTCAGAACGCCATTCTCTGCTGGTTCTCTTCCTACCTATCAGACTACTCCTCAGTCTCCTTTGCTGAGTCTTCATCCAGATCACATCTTCCAGCCATAGGTGTCCCACAGGATTCTGCCCTGGGCCCTCTGTACTACTTCACATGGATCTCTATGCTGATGATTCTCAAAAGCACCTATCCTACCTTGATCTCTTTGCTGACCTCCAACTACTTTTCAGACATCTCAAGCTGGATATCCATTAGACATTTTAAATTTAATGTGTCTCATTATTCTTCCTCCTGAACCCTGCCCTTCTACCTTCCCCATTACTGTAGAAGGCAACACCATCCTTCTAGTTCCTCAGACTCACAACCTAGGAGATACCCTCCACTGTGAAATATCCTCATACCAAATCTATTGCCAATGCTTGTTGATTTCACCTCTGCAACATCTCTTGTATACGCCCTCTTCTGTCTTCTGACATAGCTGCCATGATGAGAGTCTGCACTAGAGTGGCAGCAGCATCAGAGGAGTGAAGGGGGCATATATACAAGAGAAATGCAGACCTTTATCATCTCATGCGTCAACTATTTCAATAGCCTCTTGGCAGGTCTGCCTACCTCAAGTCTTTCTCCACTCTGATCCATTCTCCATTCGGCCACTAAAGTGATTTTCCTAAAGTACAAGTCTGATTTCTTCCCCCATCACCTCAGCCCCCTGCCCCACTGCAGTAAATTCCAATGTGTTCTTATCACTTTCAGTATCAAATACAAAAATGCTGTTTGACATCCAAAACCCTTCATAACCTGCTCCACCCTCCCACCCCCTGGCTCCTAGGAATCTTCTTACACTTTACTCCCATCACATTCTCTTCAATCCAATGACCCTGGCTTCCTGGCTGTTCCATGAACAAAACATTTTTCTAAGCTCCAGGCATTTTCTGTGCTGTTCCCCATGCCTCTAATACTCTCCTTCCTCATCTCCACCTACTGACCTACCTGTCTTCCTTTAAGTCCCAACTAAAATCCCATCTTCTAGAAGAAGTCTTTTCCAACTCCTTTTAATTCTAGTGTTTTCCTTCTCTTGATTTCCTTTTCTGTATATAGCTTGTTTGTTCGTATGTTTGCTTATTATCTCCTTTATTAGATTGTGAGCTCTTTGAGGTCAGGAATTGTCTTTTGTCTCTTTATATTTTCAGCCTTTAGCACAGGGCCTGGCACATATATTTACTGTCTGGTTAGCAAGTCACTTAACTTCTTTGGGCCACAGTTTTCTCACTTGTCAAATGGAGATGAAAAATTACCTGAAATACTTACTTTTTAGAATTGTTGTGAGAAACAAATGAGGCAACTCTCTAAGAAGATAAACTGCAGGACAATTTTCAGTCTGTATCAGTAGAGGGAGTTTGTTCCCTGGAATGAAGTTTCCTGCAGAGGTGAAAATCATAGATCTAGATCAAAAAGAGCAAATAAAAGTACTTGTTAAATTATAAAGCATGTTATTAAACTGCAATTAGTAGTTAGTTATTCTGATAGACTCTAGTATTCATGCCACTGGGCATTATTTTTGGACTTTCCTTTAAAAAAAAAAGCTAACAAACCACCCATAAAAGAAAGTTTTAAAACTAATGGGAAACAGAATCTTAATCTCGTATAACAAAAGTATTTCAAAATGTTAAGATTTATAAGAAAATCTTATTTTGGTTCCTTACAAATAAAGTTAAACCTCGTGTAATTCTATTTGAAAGTGAATGGTTTTCACCTCTTCTTTCTTTTTTTGGTTGTTAACATAATTAGTTGTATTTTTTTCTCTTTAGGATGACTGCCTTTTGAAAGTATGGTATAATACAGACAGCTGGCGGTCATCAGTTACCTCTCAAGATAGAGGTCCAGAAAAACAAACACAAGGAGGAGAAGTTGACTTTTCATTTGTTTACTTGGCACATCCTAGAGCTGTAAATGGATTTTCCTGGCGGAAGACCAGCAAATATATGCCTAGGTCAGTGATTAGTTTTTCAGTGGTATGAATGACACCTGAAGACGTTGTAAGTAATGACTTCTCTACTTCTAGAGATAACTGTTAACTGTAGAACTTCAGAGGTTGAGAAGATTTGAATGCTCAGATAAATAGTGGGGCTAATAGGCACATTGACTGGATATTATATCAAGATTCATGACCTAATGAAATGATATTCCTTTTCTATAGACTTGTTAGAAGGTATTTCCTCTTTTCTTTTTTTTTCTTTTTTTTTTTTGGTGAGGCAATCGAGGTTAAGGTTACACAGAGTCCATAGCTAGTAAGTGTCAAGTATCTGAGGTCAGATTTGAACTCAGGTCCTCCTGATTCCAAGACCAGAGCTCTATCCACTGCGCCACCTAACTGCCCCAACAATATTTCCTTTGCTTGAAATTAAGACTTTCACAAAAAATCTAGAATATAAGTTCACTATAACTATATACCTCTCTTGATCAGCTGTCAGTTACCATTTTTCTTGATTAGTTATGTCACCTCTCATCAGTTGGTGAGACATAAGTAGAATTAGGTTTAAGTTTTAAAATATAGTAAGAATATGACTTAAATCTTTTTGATGTTTTATTTTTTATAAATTCTTAGATATAATCTTCATATCACTTTCATGATTCTTTATATTAATCACAGAGTTGAAGTTCAAGATAAAATGTCTCATCAATTAATTATTCTATACTTTTATCCATATATCAGGAGGTTTGTTATTTGACTGTTCATCTTTATTCATATATGTGTGTGTGTGTGTGTGTGTGTGTATTTTTTTTTTAGGCAATTGGGGTTAAGTGACTTGCCCAGGGTCACACAGCTAAGAAGTGTCAAGTGCTTGGTCTGAGTCTGGATTTGAACTCAAGTCCTCTTAACTTCAGTGCCGGTGCTCCATCCACTGTACCACCTACCTGCCCTGCCCTGACCTTTTTGTTTATGCTCAGGTTAAATGGACCTAACTTCTTTTCCTGCTGTCTTCCATATGCATACTAGACAGCATCCAGAGTGACAGTATGTTGTATAATTTTTGAAAATATGTGTTAAACAGATATTTAATAAGCCAGACTAAAAGGGAAGGTAGTAATAAAAAGAAAATGTGCCATATTTGGCAAGCATAAAGGAAAGGATTCTGTTGAAGACTATGGGTTTGTTTTTTTCTTTTTTGTTTACATACTGAATCACTCCTGGAAACAAATTCTTTTGAAAGGGCTTATTGCTTTTACCTGGTGATTGTCCATGAGAGCAACTAATGAACTCATCATTAATCCTTAGAGATAACTAGGTGCCTCAGTTTCCTCAACTCTAAAAGGCAGATAATAATAACACCTACTTCCTAGAGTTGTTGTGAGGATCAAATGAGATATTCGTAAAGTGCTTAGCACAGTATCTGTCACACAGTTGATGCTTAATAAGTCTCTCCTTCCTCCTTTGCTTTCTTCCTCTTTTCCTTCCTTGTTTCCTTTAATTTGTATTGAGGTAAGCTCACCAAGAAGAGAAAGTCACTAACTAGGAAAGTAGTATATGTTTGAAAACACCATTTTAACTCTTGAAACTCAATATTTCTATATTCTGAGAGAAAAACATATATACTTACAGTGTTGTTAGTGCTTATTGTGGAAAATGTCCATAAATACTGTGAGACTACATTTAGTAAAAAACCACATACAAAGAATGGATTCAGACCATAATTAATAACTAAAAAATCAACATAGATTATTTTAGACCATGATCTCTTCACATGGGGTCAGAGGACTCCCAAGGTTTCCATGGATAGATTTAATTAAGTTAGGTGAGGAAAAAAACCCCAAAAACCTAACATCTTCATTTTTTCTAACCACAAACTGAAATTCAGCATTTCTTTCAATTTAGAATTTTTTTCAATTTATTTTTTCTCTTTTTTTTATTAATTTATTTTGATTTGTCAACTATCACTTCCATAAGCTTTTGAGTTTTAAATTTTTCTCACTCTCCTTCCCCAAGACAGTGCACAGTCTGATATAGGCTGCACATATACATTCCTATTAAACATTTTCACATTAGTGATATTGTAAGGAAGAATTAGAACCAATAGGAGGAACCACCAGAAAGAGGAAACAAAACAAAACAGAAGGAAAAAAACTAGCAAATAGTGTGCTTCAATCTGCATTCAAATTCCATAGTTCTTTCTTTGGATGTGGATAGCATTTTCCATCATGAGACCTTTGGAGATGTCTTAGATCCTTGCATTGCTGAGAAGGGCTAGTTCTATCAATATTAGTCATTGCACAATGTGGCTGTTACTGTGTACAACATTCTCTTGGTTCTGCTCACTTCACTCAGCATCTGTCCATACAAGTCTTTTCAGGTTTTCCTGAAGTCTGCCTATTCCTCATTTCTTATAGCATAGTAGTATTCCATTACATTCATATACCACAACTTGTTCAGTCATTCCCAAATTGATGGGCATTCCCTCAATTTCCAATTCTTTGCCACCACAAAAAGAGCTGCTATAAATATTATTGTACATGTGGGTCCTTTTCCCATTTGTATGATCTCTTTGGGATACACCCCTAGAAGTGCTATTGCTGGGTCAAGGGACATGCACATTTTTATAGCCCGTTGGGCATAGTTCCAAATTGCTCTCCAAAATGGTTGGATCATTTCACAACTCCAGCAACAATGCATGAGTGTTCCAATTTTCTCACATCTTCTCCAACATTTATCATTTTCCTGTTTTGTCATGTTGGCCAATCTGATAAGTGTGATGTGGTACCTCAGAGTTGTTTTGATTTGCATTTCGCTAATCAATAGTGACTTAGAACATTTTTTCATATAACTATAGACGACTTTAATTTCTTCATTTGAGAACTGCCTGTTCATATCCTTTGACCACTTATCAAATTTGACTTAATTCTCTGTATGTTTTTAAAATGAGGCCCTTATCAGAAATACTGGTTGTAAAAATTCTTTCCTAATTTTCCTCTTTTCCTTCTAATCTTGGTTGCATTAGCTTTGTTTGTGCAAAAACTTTTCAATTTAATGTAATCAAAATTATCTATTTTGTATTTCACAATATTCTCTGTCTCCTGTTAGATCATGAATTCTTCTGTTCTCCATAAATCTGATAGGTAAACTCTTCCTTGCTCTCCCAGTTTGCTTATAGTATCAGCCTTTATATCTAAATCATGAATACATTTTGACTTTATTTTGGTATAGGGTGTGAGATTTTGATTTATGCCTAGTTTCTGCCATGCTCTTTTCCAGTTTTCCTAACAGTTTTTGTCAAATAGTGAGTTCTTATCCCAGAAGCTGGGGTCCTTGGGTTTATCAAATAGTAGATTACTATAGTCATTGACTACTGTGTCTTGCATACCTAACCTATTCCACTGATCCATCACTCTATTTCTTAGCCAGTACCCAGCAATTTTGATGATTGCTGCTTTATAATACAATTTAAGATCTGGAACAGGTAGGCAACCTTCCCCTGCATTTCTTTTCATTAGTTCCCTTCATATTCTTTACTTTTTGTTATTCCAAATTAATCTTGGATTATTTTTTCTAGCTCTATAAAATAATTTTTTGATAGTTTAATTTGTATGGCACTGAAAAAAGTAAATTAGCTTAGGTAGAATTGTCATTTTTATTATATTAGCTCAGCCTACCCATGAGTAACTGATGTTTTCCTAATTATTTAGATCTGAGTTTGTGTGAGAAGTGTTTTGTAATTGTGTTCATATAGTTCCTGGGTTTGTTTTGGTAGGTAGACTCCTAAATATTTTATAATGTCTACAGTAAATTTAAATGCAGTTTCTCTTTCTATCACTTGCTGTTAGGCATTGTTGGTAATATATAGAAATGCTGATGATTTATGTGGGTTTATTTTATAGCCTGCAACTTTGCTAAAGTTGTATATTATTTCAAGTAGTTTTTTACTTGATTCCCTGGGATTCTTTAAGCATATCATCATATCATCTCCAAAGAATGATAGCTTTGTTTCCTCTTTGTCTATTCTAATACCTTCAGTTTATTTTTCTTCTCTTATTGCTGAAGCTAACGTTTCCACTATGATATTGAACAACAATGCATTATCACCACTGTTATTCAGTAATGTTAGCCTTAGCAATAAAAGAAGAAAAAGGTTTTTTTTAAGAAAACATTCTAATGGATTTCCATAGATTTCACAAGACTATCAAGAGTGCGTGCCAAAACAATGGTTTTTAAAAAAAAAACTGGAGGCAGCTAGGTGGTGCAGTGGTTAGAACACTGGCCCTGAATTCAGATGTGGACTCAGACGCATAACACTTACTAGCTGTGTGACCCTGGGAAAGTCACTTAACCCCATTGCCTAGCCAAAAAAAAAAAAAACCCCAACAGCATCAACCCTGTGTTTAGAGGATGTTGTATATTTCTGTTTGAGCCATTTTCATATGAGACTGAGTTTCATTCAAGACAACACCAGCAATTGTGTCATGTTACCTCAAATCATGGAACAGTTTTGGAAATCAAAGTAGTTACTGAATTAAGAATATAGAGAGAAGTAACTTGGTGTGGCAAGTGGTGTTACATTGAAGTAGAGGTTTCTTATATAATCAAGACTGTATAGTTGCCCTTTTGAACACATTAAATATTTATGTTTACATACTATAAACTTTTCTTCATTAATACTTTAAAAATTAAATGTCTAGGTAATACTAAATAATTTCCATGATTGCCATATTAATTTTCTGAACTGGATTATTCTCAATATTGTTTTCTTCCACAGGGCTTCTGTATGTAATGTATTGTTGACTTGCTGCAAAGATAATGTGTGCCGCCTATGGGTAGAGACTTTTTTACCAAATGATAGTCTCTTATATGAAGGAAACTACAGCCATTGGACTGATCCAGTTAATTTAACAAATAACTTCAAGAGGAATGCTTCCAGTAAGGAAAGAGTTCAAAATGCTTTAGAAGTGAGTGCTATAGTTTGTATGTCTCATTTTACTACAAGCTTTGGGAGTGATTTTTAAAACACAACTTTTAAACCATAGAATCAAGATTTGAAAGGAATAATAGAGACCACCCAGCTTGAAATTCTTTCTTTTATAGATGATTGAGTTATATGACCTTACTCTTAAGTTCAGTTATATTTAACTTACATAAGTTTAAAAAAACCAAGACTCGGGGAAGCTAGGTGGTACAGTGGATAGAGCACTGGCCCTGGAGTCAGGAGGACCTGAGTTCAAATCTGGTCTCAGACACATAACACTCATTAGCTGTGTGACTCTCGACAAGTCACTTAACCCCAATTGCCTCACCAAAAAACAAAACAAAACAAAACAAAAAACAGCAAACCCCAATACTCAGGAAAAGAAAATGTTGCTACAAAATTTTTGAAGCATTTACATTTTTCCAATGTAGAAAGTAACTGATTTTTAAAAATTTACCAGATGACTAAAAAAACATGAACAAGCCCTATTGATTTGAAGAAAATAAGTGCAGTCTGAGCAAGAGAACTGAGGTTGCCATAAAGCTTCTCTTTTTAGCTTTTTTTTAACCTAAAACTTGTGAAGTTATGAATAAATTAGAGAAATAGTGTTGGAGTTAATATGTCTGATCACTTGAGGAGAGAAGGCTCCTGAGCATTATTAGTCAGTTGTCAATGTATTTGTAGCTCATAAAACAAACATATTAAGAATACATGTAGTTTATGAGAATAAGGGCACTCTAAAAAACAATTTTATCCACATAGGTAAACCTGAGGCATTTTCGTAGAGGACGAAGAAGATCACTTGCACTTGTAGCACATACTGGCTACCTGCCACATCAGCAGAATCCTCATCAGGTCCATAGGAATACCCCTCTGCAAGCCAATGCACTTTGCCACTTTCATATTGCAGCTAGCATCAACCCAGCCACAGGTAATAACCCTGGCTCCCCAAAAAAGCTTTAGTGTAAAGTAGTATCATGGGACTCTTTTTAGTACTAAATCCATTGCATGTCATACTTTTGCATTCTATCGGTAACAAAATGTGGAATGTGGGTACCAAGTAGAGTATATACACTAAGTGTTGGGTATGGGATAAGGCTGATTAATCAGCAAAAGAGATAATGAAGCAGTGGTCAGACAGATAGTAGGAAAATCAAGAGAGAACAGTGTCACAGAAAGGAAATAACATGTGGACAGAGAGGGTAGTAGACAGTGTCAGATGCTGTGCAGAGGTCAAGAAGTATGAGTATTGAATGACAGTCATCATTTGGCAGTTAAAGATTATTGGTAACTTTGGAGAGGGCAGTTTTAGATTGCCACTTGTTGCTGTTGGACCTTATGTCCAAAACCATATTGCAAGTGATTGAGAAGTGACAGAAGAGGAAGTAGAATTAATGAGTGTACGCAACTTTTTCCAAGGTTTTGCTTAGAATTAAGTAATGTTAATATCATGTGAATTTTTTTTTTAAGGTGGAGGGAATAGCTCTCCTATGAGCCATCTTTCCATTTAACCATAATGTCTTCTGTCTTATGGTTTCCTTCATAGTGAGAAGGTTAATACGATTCAGTTTCTCCATTAGTGTGTCCATTAATTATTGACAAGAAGGTCACATTTAGGTACCAGTAGCTAAGTTAATGTGAATCTCAGATTCTTTATTACCATTTCCACCATTCTGCCATGGGTATTGCACCAGCAGAACATGACCACAGATTTGCCCTGATGAAATAATTCATAACTATGTGGTTAGTTTACTGGTGGTGAAACTTTTGATGATTTAGTGAGGCTGTTCCTCAGAAAGTAGGCATATTAGAAGTTATTGAAAGCAACCCCTTCATTTTATAGATGAAGAAACTGAAGCTCAGAGGTGTAAGTGGTGCAGTTGAGACTTGAACCAAGTCTTCTGAGTTCAAATGTCCCATTCTTTCTGCTGTGCCACATGGTAGAAGCATCCAGAATCTGTGTTCTCCTACCAGAATTTTTAAGAACCCAGGGGTGTCCTGTATACCAAGATGCGATAGTAGAATAAAACTTTGTGGAAGAATCAGCTCTCTTTTGATAAAAAAATAAACAGAAAGCAGTCATGTCTTTAAATAAGTTCTAGAATTATCACTAAATGAATTAAGAGAAGGTGTTTTTAAAATTCATATTTTATTAATGATTTTACTTTCAGAATATTAAATTCAAATATAGAAATGCTTTAGGGATTTTGGCATTCCAAGCCAGTTTTGAAACATAAATTGTCAATATTGGCTCTCCAGTAATCAGATACATTTTTATTTGATGTATCTTCTCCAGGGCTTCTTTTAAAAATAATTGTTGATAATCTTTAGTTTTTACATCATTTACATTTTTTAATATATCCTTTCCCCATCCTTGCAGCAAAAAAGAAAGAAAAAACACATCAGCAAAAAAAAAAAATCACCTGTGGCTGTCGGCATGTACAGTATTTCATGCCCACATTCCATCTGTCTAGCAAAGGATAGGAGGTGTATTTTCTCTTTTCTTCTTCTAGGACAAGCTTGATCATCATAATTACATGTTCGATTTTGTTTTGTTGTTGTTCTTTGTGTTTACTTATAGTCATTGAGAATATTGCTTTCCTTGTTCTTCATTTTGTGTAGTTCATATAAGTTTAACAGGTTATGTTTATCTAAAATCTTCAAATTCAGCATTCATACACCATCTATTTTAGTCAGTCCTACTCAGTTGATGGGCAGCTGCTTTGCTGCCATTGAAAAGGCTGCTATAAATATTTTGGTGTGGAAGGGAACTTCCTTTCTATTTTTAACATCTTTGGGATATGTATATGTCTAGCAGTGGGAGCTCTGGGAATAACAGTTGTGGATATTTTAGTTACTTTTCTTGCATAATTCCAGATTACTTTATAGTATGGTTAGATCATTTCTGTGCTGCAAATAGAGTGTGCCTATACTCCTCTTGCCCCTCCAAAATTAACTTTTGGAGGAAAAATGTTTGATTGCCCTCACGTAAATCATTGCCTACTAACTCAAATCCCTTTGAGGTTGTGACATTATAATTTTGCATAAGAGGGATAATGTTTGCCTTGTATAATTCATGTAATTTCTTGAATTCTTGTTTGAGAATATGTAAATATACTCTTTAATCAAAACAATTCAGTCCTAACAAATATTAATATAGGGTTATTAAATGTGTCACATCTTTCAGATGACTTGACTAAAAATAAAATATATCATAAATTAGGCAAGGTAAAGTTGGCCACATGATTTTAATTTTTCTGTTATAGACATTAAAATGACCTCTTATCTAATTACTTATAGAGAGAACATGTAGAATGGCTTGTGTGTAGGTTACATTTATTTTAAACCTTTCATGATTCTTTATATGACAACCAATAACAAAAATATGAAGCTTAATTGTTTCATGTGATTAGGTAGCAAGTAATTAATTTTTGCCATTTTTGCTTTGTAGACATTCCTTTACTTCCTTCTATTACATCTCTCAGTCTTGGTGAAAATGAAGAGAAGAGTGGGCCTTTTGTTGTACACTGGCTTAACAATAAAGAATTGCATTTTACTTTATCAATGGAGGTCTTTTTACAGCAGCTTCGAAAGAGTTTTGAACAGCCACCTTCAGAAACCAGCATGGAAGAATCTAATCAGGTGGATGGAAAATCTGATGAAGGTAATGGCTTAAGAAAAATAAGGAATATGTAAAATAATTTGATTCAATCAAATTGCTCTTCAGTACACATATGCATTTTTATATCTTAAAGATAAGTAATCATATATTTGAATGCTTAATATGTCAAGGTACTGTATGTGGTATTATATGGAATACAAAGAATTATAAGAAAGATCTTGCCCTCAAGAAAATATAAACTAGAATTTTCATTTGTATGACCAAACTTTTCCTACCTCCCATGCTTCCCGTCCCCTGCAATCAGTTTCTTCCACTGTTGTTATAACCCCTTGTAATCTACTTTAAGGGCCAGTCACTGGCCTTGAACAACTTTATCCAAGATTAATCAGCATGTACTTGGCTTCTTTCATTCCTCATCCTTCTTTTTGCCCTCTCTTTAAGTTTGAGTACTGTTAACCTCCTCCTGTATCCTAGTTCCATACTAGTTCCTCTTTTTGCTCCTGTGTCACTATTTCCAGCATCTCTGGTCAGACCACTCATTTTCAATCTCTTTTGATGGTTTACCAATTCTTTCCCACAGCTGTGGAGGTTCCCCAAAGTTTTGTCCCAGAATCTCTTTTCTTTCTCTGCATCCTTTCTTGGTGATCTCCACTTCCATGGATTCAGCTACCTCTGGTGCAGATGATTCTCATTTTTTTATTTTATATATCTAGCCCTAATCGCTCTTGATTAGTTTCACATCTGCTACTATTCTCACATCACTGCTATTCATCTCTGCTTAGATATCCAGTCTTCTTCTCAATCAGCATGTCCAAACAGAACCCATTATCTTTCCCATTAAGGTATATACCCTTTCTCCAAACTTAGCCTTTTCTCTTGAGGATATCACTGTACTTACAGTCAATCTTGAAATCCTCTTTGACTTTTACCTCTACCTCAGCTCCCCATATCAGTTTCCAGGTCTTGTTGATTCTACCTCATAATTAATCACATTCATCCCCTTCTCTTCACTCACTTGGCCACTCCCCTAAATCAGACCCTCCTTATCTCTTGCCTATACTTTAGAAATTGCCTTCTAATTGGTCTCCCTGCTTCCATTCTTTTTACGTTCCAATCCATCTTCCATTCAGCTGCCAGATCTTCTTTAGCCTAAGTTTGATCATGTAACTGCAATCAATCAGCATTTATCAGGTGCTTCCTGTGTGTCAGGCGGTAGAGATAAAAATAAAAAGAATGAAACAATTCCTACTCTCAAGCAGCTTGTGTTCTAAGGGAGGAGACAATAAGCATATACATATGTGAATACAGAATAAATATAAAGATAATTAACATGAACAAATATAAGGTAGGGAGGTCACTAGCAATTGCAGTGGGATGGATCAAGAAAAGCTTCTTTTGGAAGCTGGTTCTTGAGCTGAATCTTGAAGGAAGAGGGAGTTCTCTGAGGTAGAAGTGAGAAGGGAATATAATCCAGACAAAGAAGAAAGCTGGTACAATGGCATGGAGTCAAAAGAATACTCTGAATGAGGAACAGAGACAAAGTCAGTTTGTCCAGATCACACAGTGCAGGAGGAGGAGGAAGAGTATACCTGGAAAGGTAGGTTAGGTTCAGGTTGTGAAGGGCTTTAAAAACTAAACAGGAGTTTTCATTTGATTCTAGAGTTTATTGAGTAGAAGAATATAAGAAGGGGAAGTAAGACAAATCACTTTGGCCCTGCTGTGTATAATCAGCTGGTTTCAAGAGGGATTTGAAGCAGGGAGACCAATTAGATGGCTCTTGCAATAATCCAGATAAGGGTAATGAGGCCTCATCTAAATTAAGTTTGTGACTGAGTAGAGAGATGGTGTGATGGTAGAAACAGCAAGATTTGGTCACTGGTTAGATATGTGGATTGAGGGGTACACAGCTGGGGCATGATGTTCGTGGAGTTGAAACTAAGCAGAGATGCTGAAAGAAAATGAGGTTACCTGGAAAGTTCTGAACTCTCTCTAAAGGAAGGCTGTGGGAGGAGTTTATGTCTCTGCTGTCCAGTCAGAGGAGAGAGGCAGCTGAGGGGTCCATGGAGTGAGTCTTCGTGGTGACGAGATTTCGTATGATGAGCTTATCTTAGGCATTCCAGATGTTCCATGAGATATAGCACAGCCCCTGTTGGAAAATGAATTAGAATGAAACATCTGTTATCTCCTTTCACCTCTGCTTCTTAGAATCTTTAGCTTTCTTCAAGGATCAGCTCATGTGCTGCCTCCTACATGAAATCTTTAACGAATCCTTCCTGTTGTTAGTGTTGTCACTTGGCAAATCATCTTGTATTACCTGTTTACAAATTATATCCTCCAGTAGAGTGTAGACTACTTGAGGACAAACATTATTTTTCTTACATCGTTAGCACCTAGCACAGTGCCTTGTGACACTTTATAAAGTATTTCTTGACTTGAATTGTATTAAATTTTTTTAATAAAAAGCAATTTTAAAGTTGTCTGTGTGTTGTGGCAAAATCAGAAACTGGTACATCTAGCTTAATACAGATTTGTTTTTAAAAGTAGTCTTCAGTGCAGTATATTTAGATCTATTTAGAAATGCCCTAGACATTAATAAAAAACTTATTTTAAAAACTGCCCTTAACTGCTTGCTTAGATTCAGGAAAATCTTAACAAGGCACACCTATAACATTGAACTGGAAACTTTTCTTAAAATCTTGCTATACTGAGATAAATACATTGATTTTGAATTTTAAAAATTATGTTTTCTGGTGCAAAGAGTAGATGAAATATTTGTTGTAATTGGAGGACATAAGCACTAACTTAACATTTAGTCAGTAAAGTAGCAAGATTTCAGTTGTTACTCCCTTTTGGTGAATCTTTATAGAACAACTGAAATGAGATTAAGCATTGAATCACTTTCCTGATTGTCCTGATGTCTGAAAAGGCTGTCAGTTTCATGTTGATATCCTTTCTTGGAAGGCTGAGTTTGTATTAGGACTAGTGTTTACAAGTATTATTTTAGAAACTGATTAACTCTAAAATAATAAAATTATTAAAACAAAGCTTTAAAATATTTTACAGAGATGGCCTAGAGTGCTGTACATATCCCTAAAATAAAAATTTACTTTTTTCATTTTTTGTTTATGAAACCTAGATACTGATTTAAACTTTCTTGCCTTTCTAGTAATTCTTGTGAAATTTGTTACTTAATTGCATTTACTTAAATCATCAACACTTTTTTTCCTACTAGAAACAGATGATGGTGTTGATGATCTGAAAGCAATTCCTGAAAAAAGAGAGTTGAGTAGTGAAAAAAATATACTCAGTTCAGGCTGTGTACCCTTGCCATCCGCTATTATTGATCATCAGATTGAAGTGCTTCTGTCTGAATGGAGTAAAAATGCAGACATGCTTTTCAGTATTCATCCAGTGGATGGTTCTTTGCTGATTTGGCACGTGGATTGGCTGGATGAATACCAGCCTGGTATGTTTCGCCAGGTGCAGGTACTGTTATTATCTCAACTGGTATCCTACTTTGTTTAATATTTAATATTTTATTTTTAATTCTGCTTTTTATATCATCACACAATCAATGCATCGTAATGCATATATATGTGTATTTTTTTTTTAATCTAGGTATCATTTGTTTCCAGAATTCCAGTAGCTTTCCCTACGGGTGATGCAAATTCTCTCTGCAGAAGCATAGTGATGTATGCTTGTACCAAGAATGTTGACTTGGCTATTCAGCAAGGCAAACAAAAACCCTCCGGCCTCACACGTTCCACATCAATGCTCATCTCTTCTGGTCATAGTAAATCAACTAATAGTTTAAAATTAAGTATCTTCACTCCTAATGTCATGATGATTTCAAAGCATGCAGATGGATCCTTGAATCAGTGGTTAGTCAGCTTTGCAGAAGAATCTGCCTTTTCTACAGTGCTCAGTATTTCCCATAAATCTAGATATTGTGGTCATCGCTTTCATCTTAATGACTTAGCTTGCCATTCAGTATTACCATTGCTACTAACAACATCCCATCATAATGCATTAAGGACACCAGACATTGACAATCTGAAACAGCCTTATGATACTTTAAACTCTGAGGAAATTTCATTAGGAGAGCGTAGTAGAAGTACTGTAGATGTAACGTTCCAGGATCCAAATGCAGTTTATAGTGAACTTATTCTTTGGAGGGTTGATCCAGTTGGGCCATTGTCTTTTTCTGGAGGTGTTTCAGAACTTGCAAGGATTAATTCTCTTCATGTTTCGGCCTTTTCCAATGTGGCATGGCTACCTACCCTCATACCTAGTTACTGTCTAGGTAAGCATCATATTGTTTTCTTTTTTATTCAAGATAATAAAGAATCTAAACACTATCTTTAAATTGCTAAATTTAACATTTTCATCAATCTTTTTAGGTGCTTATTGCAACTCTCCTAGTGCTTGCTTTGTGGCAAGTGATGGACAGTATTTGAGATTGTATGAAGCTGTCACTGATGCCAAAAAACTTCTATATGAGCTATCCAACCCTGAAATTTCTGTAAGTGAAATGATTATATGTAAATCTTACAAAACCTATGTGATTTTTAATCTGAAATTATTAGATGCACAAATTAAAATAATAGGGATAATATATTTATTTCTATGTAATGAATGCCTGGAACATAGAAGAAACAATAAATTTTGTTGATTGATAAAGCAAGTGAAATGTTAATATTTAAGTTTTATAAACCTGTTTGAATTTTTTATCTCATTATACATACAAATTTAAATGATTAGATATAACATGCTTATTTTCAGGCTTTTTTGATCCAGATGTTATTTTACGCAACCTGGAAATTCCTTTATACTTGTTTTATATATATCCTGTATTTACTTATCTAGGAACATGTTTCCCCTAATGCCTGATGCATGTAGGTGCTTAATAGATGTTTGTTAATTCATTAAGTAGCTATCAAGTATATTCTTTTAAGATAGTATTCATAGAATCTACCATAAAAATACTTGGCTCTTCATAAATTAAAACTCTTATTATCTGTCTTTTTTATTACCTTCTTTTTCATTTGTATATCACTTTTAAAGTAACCATTATGTTTTCATTGCATCTGGGATTTTATCATTGTAGGTAGCTCTCAATGAGGACACTTCTTTTTATTGATACTGACCAGCAATTTGTCTGCATCTTGTAGTCTTAGAGTTGCTTCTGAGATAGTGATAAGTTAAGTGACTTGTCCGGTTTCATATATCCAGTATATGTTAGAAGTAGGATTTGAACCCAAGTCTTGCTGACTGAGTTCTGTACTACACTTGGCTACCTTTAACACAGTGATAATAAAAAAATAATTTTCCCTCAAAACAACTAATAATTATCCTTAATTATTTGATTCTGATTTATGTTGTAGTGCTTTTGAAATCTCCAGCAAGGTGCGTAGACTAGAATCTTAGAAGAGACCTTATGATTAGTTAACTTCTTACAAAACTAAGGAAAATTGGATTTTTTTTCTCCCATTAACAGATTATTTTTGCAAATGTTGATAATTTTAATAAACCTCATAATTAAGTTAAGAAAATATCTTTATTTCTTTTAAAACAGAAATATGTTGGCGAAGTGTTTAACATTGTAAGTCAGCAATCAACAGCAAGACCAGGATGCATTATCGAGTTAGATCCCATTACTGAACTTGTAAGTGTACTATTTATTCTAACTATAGACAATTTAGGTAAATCACTTACTTGGCAATTTATATTGTTTTTTATTTATTCACATCCAGCATGGCAGAAAAACACAGCTACTTCATGTTTTTCAAGAAGACTTCATTTTGAATAGCCTGGAGAAGAAAAGTCTGGGAAAGGGCAACATTTTATCTGATTCTGGTAAAGAAAATATTTCATAAGTAAAAGTATAAAGATATTTAAATTATCCTTTAAATCCATTTGAGGCTAACATGCGTGTACGTGTGTGTGCGCATGCACGCGCATGCATATGTGTGTGTGTTCACAGCAGTGCATACACATGTGGATACTTGGCTTTGTGCAGGTGAACATTTTTGTCAATGACTCATGAAAGCAAAGATGCCACACTTACAAATTTGCAAATAACATGAAAATGGGGAGGAATAACAGCTAATACAATTGATGATAAGTCAAGAGGCAAAAAGTGAATGGCAGACCAAATCTAATAAAGATACATCTTAATAGAGTTTAATGTAAATTTAATATGAAATCCTTTCCTTGGATTCAAGGAATCACTTACTTAGGGAAGGTGTTAGGAAAGGAAAGAAGACAGTAGTTCATGTGGAAAAGATTTAAGAGTTTTATTTGTCTGCAGTCTTTATATGAATGAAGAGTGTGTTATGGTAACCAAAACCACTATTTTAGACTACCTTGAGAGAGATCTACACTTGCCAGATGGAGGAAAATGATAGTTCTCTTGTACCATGCTTGGATTAGTGGATCAGTCTACATCTGGAGTATTCCGTTGAGTTAGGAGTTCTTAGATTAGGAAGGACATTGCTCAGAGAATGAAAACCAGGATGATGATGAGGGGATGGTGCACATAGAGATGGAAAGAACCAGAAATCTGTTTAGCTTGAAGAGATAGAGACCTAGACACAACATGATGCAGCTTTTTTTTTTCAAGTTTTTCATGAGATATCATAGGAAAGACAGGGATTAGATTTGTTTGACTTAATCCCAAGTCCCATAAAGGACCAAATAACTGTGAGTGGAAGTTATGGAAAGGCAAATTTAGGCTTGATATAATGAAATGTAATCAAGTATCACAGGAACTAAAGAATCTGTTATTTCTGAAATGTTCTTTTAGGAAACATATTTAGTGCTACTTCTTTATCGTTAAAAGTCATTTAAATACCTATTTATATGGAATATTATGTAGACCAATTAGGTAATACAAAATTTGACCTTTTTCCATCTGTAATATGGGGGTTTTCCTCCAGAGGTTTAACCAGTATAAATTAATTACTTCAACAAGGAGATCACAAGAGTTCCAAAAGCATTTTAGCCAACATTTGACTTACTTGACAAATGAAGAATGATGATAGCTGTGGATGGCAAAGGCAGAGTCTGAATCAGTATTCATTTATTAAGTGCCTTCTATCTGCCAGGCACTGTGGTAAGCCCTGGTGATACAAAGAAACACATAAGATAGTCCCTGCCTTCAAGGAGTTCTAATGGAGACAGTCAACATATAAAAAGAAGCTGAAAAGCTGGGGGAGATGGGGTAGGAAGAAGAGGGAGGGAGGTTATCTAGGAGAGGGATATGATGAAGTCCTGTAGCTGGGATAGAAATGATTTGAGGAGGTGAGAGTTTCAGAGTTGATTTCATCTTACAGAATGGTGATCTGGCAATCATGAAGTCCAGGAAATCAGCTGTATTAAAAATGATGAGGTGAATTCCCTGAGAGCCCTCCTTAAATAGTGGTCCTCTCTGGTCAGAGGGTGGGGTGGGGCTACCAAAGGGAATAAGGAGTGCTGAAGTAAATTTCTGGAGATCACAAAGTCCAAGAAAGCAGCTGGGGATGGGGAGAATGATGACAACATTGGGTTAGAATGTAAACTCTTCTGTAAAATCTTAGAAAGAAGGATAATGCAGAAACATGAACATCATCTCATAAGGCAAGAAGTAGTAGAGAAACGAGACTGAAGAAAGTTTAGCACTATATCCAACTACACAAAGTCATCTCGTGGGCATTTGATGATGAAAATGAAAATACTATAAATAGAAGAAAAATGGAAAAGGTTTTTTTTTCAAATAGCCAACTATTTTTATTTATCAAGAATAGTGGAACCACCATGTTTGGATTTGAACATCACAGTAGGTGAGGTGCCTTATTGAAGAGTCCTATGACACTGAAGGGAATAAAGATGGCAACTTATGTGTGTGTGGGTGTACATGTGTAAATATATATATGTACACATATACAGTACACACATACACATATCCTTGTCTATCTCTCTGTAAAATAGATCCATGCTGAAAGTAGTATATTTGTGAAGACATTGAAGGACTAATATACAAGGAATCTGAAGGAGAGAAGGATGCCAAAGGTGTGGGGGAAAAAATCTCAGACGTAATTAACACTGAACGAGTTTTATAATTTCACTAACTGCTGGCTAATATGTTTGTCTATTTTCTTTTCTACACAAAATCTTAACATTCTATCTAACTTCTCCCTCACCCATTGAGAAGGCAAATAGTAGGATGTCTATTGTACATGTGAAGCCATATAAAACATTTCCATATTAGCCATGTTGCAAAAAAACTTTTTTTTAAAAAGGAAAACGAAGTGAAAAAAAATATGCTTCATTTTGCACTCAGTTTATCAAATCTCTCTCTCAGCACAGATAGCGTTTTTCATCATGAATCCTTTGGAATTGTTGTAGATCATTGTAATTATCAGTTTAGCTAAATCATTCACAGTAGATAACCATTAAAATATTGTTACTGTCTTTACAAAATCTTTATAGTTATCCCTTCCACATCACAAGGGTAAGTGGTTCAGCATCCTGTGATCTGGAAAATCAGTGTAAGATTTTTTACAGAGAAGTAGTATTTTGGATTCATGGATTTCCTTCTCTTTTTTCTTGATATTATATAATACTATACATATATTTTATGTATTTCTGAGTTTTTAAACCTTTTCTGTGTTGTGTGCTGGGTTTTGTGTGTCATCTGCAGCTTCTGTAAAACTCCCAAAAAATTCCTATTTAATTTCTTACGTCAACTCATTTTTACATCGAAACCCAATGGGGAAAGTCATGATGGAGAAGGATAACTGTATGTAAGTCACAGCCATCCTTGATAATAGTATTGGTAGGAAACAAGCAGGCTTCAAAATTAATTGAAAGATGTGGAGAATATAAAATTCCATCATGCTTACTGTTTATTAACCCCACAAAAAAACTGATTTGGTAGAACAAAATGCTGCTACATAAGTCTTTTATAGCAAGGTGTCTCCCACCCTTACATTGAAATCGTTTAAGATTCCTTGGAAGATAGAACAATGAAAATTAGCCTGTTCCATGACCCTCTTACAGTAAACATCATTATGCTTGCCAAAAGTATTCAGACCATAATGGCAGATCCAGGACAGAGTCCAGGTTAAGGAAGGATTCCCTGTGAAATGGAACATTTTCCAGATGCCCATTTTGCATGTGTCATGGTAGTGATTGCATCAAGACCCAGAACATTGCGGAGACTCTTGAAAAAGATCTGTAATCACTCAAAAGGAGTTGGCATGTCTCTCCACAAAAGAAAGATCCAAGTGAATGAAGACTCTCTTCCATAGATTTCAACATGCATTTGGATGGACACAGTGTGCATATCTGGGATGCAAGCAGACGGTAAGCTAATTCCAGAATTGAAGGAGCAAAGAGGGCTGGATTTCTTACAGAAAATTACAAGTTCTTTTACTGATTCCAGGTTTCCCATGACAGTAAAGGCCCAACTCCTCAATGTAACATGACATTGTAACAGTAGTGCCTCTGAGGAACTAAAGAGTGTCAGACAGAGGGGTAGTGGAGGAGTGCATGGTGAATCTGAGCTGGCACCAACATACAAGCAAAGAGATACTCTGGTGAAAGATAGATGTATATGACAGGAATTGAAGATGGGCTGGCAAGAACGAGGGTTCACAAGTGCACATCCAGAACATCACATCGGTACCCTTCTGATGTGGGGGGAAGCAAGGAAAGACTCTAGTGCGTTGAGCGGACCTCAAATTGAACTTTTGCAGAGAAGATGGATAACAGTTGCACAGGATCTGCAAGATGGCTGAGGTGCAATCTATCAATGAAGGGAAATCCCAATTGATGAGATTACAGATTCAGTTCAGTATTTGAGAAACTTGGGAATATGTAGATCTTCAAAATATCAGTATTGTGTATGACTAACCAAAATGCATACTACCACAAAAACATCAAAGTCTAATAATTTAGTCTTTATCTTAATATTTATGCAACTTAAAGTCTGTATTATCTAAATTTTCCTATATACTGTTCCTTGCAAGTAGGTTTGTTGTTGGCCAGGTTCACAGTTGGTAGGAGATTCAGAAACTAAGATCAAAAGGTTTCAAAAGCTGCAAACCTCTCTGAGTTTCCCTTGTTGCTAGTACCTCCCTGTTCTCCAAGTTACTTTGTTTTTAGTTATCTGTCTATAAGTTGCTTTCCTTTTATAGAATATAAGCTTTTTTATTTTTTAAGGGCAGCAACTTTTTTTTTTTAACTTTGTATCTCTAGTACCTAACCTAGTGCCTGCCATATAGTGGCAACATTTATTTTTTTAAAAATTAGTCAATCAATCTGGATAAAGACTTAACAACATATTATTAGGAGTCTTTCTTGACACTGAGAAGGTATTTTCATGAGGAAGATTGGTCTAGATACTTATTTTCATGTGTTTAAGGAAAGAGGTTGTGACAGACGATTACTTGAGTATAATCATTTCTTCTAGTTTGGTATTAAAGAGGAGCAGAGAAAGCTAAGTTGTCCAGAAAAGTCATGGAAAGTTGTTTTAGGTTTCCTCAGGCCTTGGTGTATCTCTAAGTAAGGATGAGAAAAAACCAAGGACTAAGGAGAAATTCTAGATTCACATGACAAGAAAACGTCTACTGGAGCAATGTCCTGTAGGAGGCAAGAAGTGCTGGAATCCGTAAAACTATTTCACATATAGAGATTTAATATTTGCAAAGCATTGCTTTTACAATAACCTTGTGAGGTATGTAGGATAAGTACTACCTTGTTTCATATAAAACTGAGACTCAATAGTTTGTCACTTGTCTGTTATTATGACCTATTATTAAGGGTCTGAGGCATGATTTGAAACCAGGGCTCTAGATTCCAAGTCCAGGATATTATTATATTGCTTCTCAAGGGCATGAATGTAGGGATCAGCCTTAGTGAGGAGCAAGTGTCTTCTGTGACCAGATAGTAGAAGAGACTGAGAGATGATGCTGATTTAGTTATGAGAATTAGAGTAGTGCAGTTGAGGGAGCTCCTTAATGTAGAAATTTTGTTCTATAATTGTTTGAGATTATGGAGTGCAGCTGTGGGTGAATATGTATGAATTTACTTTTTGGTATGCATGTTCCTTGTAAACATATGTTTTGTGGTAAAGAACCTCTTCGATATTATGTAAAATGAAGCATATCTGTGTAGTTATTTTGAATTTATTACAATTTGATTTAAACCATCTAAAAATGATAGGCTGGGCTAAGTTGACTTCATGTACTCCTATCTAAAAATTTCTTACTACAGAAATTGTGGCTGTTAGCTAATTTTCTGACTTTTTGCTATGATATCTGTATGTATTAAAAATGGTTTTCATAATATCAGAAACTTATTTTCAGTTGACCTTTAAAAACTAATTCTGTTCATGAAATATAGGCATATTATAGGGATGTTAAATAATTCACCTAATTCAGATCTTGTTAGAAAGTGGAAAATTTGATAATTTTCTTATGTCCTGTCATCTTTGTTGGTAATCTTTTTTAAAGTATGTTGTATAAAAACTTGAGTTACTACTCTTAATTATTATTTTTGACTTCTATTTTTAAAGATGTATCTTTTATTTTCTAAACTTATACTAAACAAAGCCTCTTAATACCAACAGGTACCCAACCTAATGGATTTTCTGAAAAATTCTACTTAGTTGTAATAGAGAATTCTCAAGATAACCGTTCATTACTTCATATGTGGAATTTACATTTAAAATCCATTCCTGTCTCAGTAGGTAGGTAGTAATTTTTTTGAGGTAAAATAAAATTTTTGTTAATATAAAGGTAACTAGAACTGTTTTGGTTACCTTACACACACACACACACACATACACATACTTTTGCGCATACCATTCACTTTATGGTCTCAAACATTCATTTTCTTGTCCAAATTAAGTTTGTTGGGCGTTTTTTTGTTGTATTTAGAATGTGATATCAGTAGCTTAGGGGAAATTAGTTTTCTTTTTACTCACAAAATGTATTAACTTTGTTTTAAAATATTATAGAATTATGTTATACATATTTTTATACATTATCTTTCAGATGAGAAAATAGATGCAAGTGTGTCTGGTACAGTGTTGCAACAGGAAGAGTTATCTTCTTCTCCAGAAAAGATCCAATCTCCTTTTTCAAAGAAATATCAGGCTTGCAGAGCAAATCTTCAAAGTACTAGTAAATTGACTCTTTCTTCAGAAATGGTATATAGCCAAGAATTGAATTTGCCAGAAGGAGTTGAGATAATCAGTGTTAAGCCATCAGCAGGTTTGTGAATCTTAAGGAATGAAAATAATAAAAATTTGGAATCCATAAGTGTTTCACATATATAAATATTCTTCTATTGTTTTGGTATTCATATATAACCATTGTTTTTCAAGTAATTGTGAAGCAAGAACAGAAAGAATAATGATAAATAACTTGATCAGATGCTTTAAGCTCCTTGTGTAAGGTTGTTGATATAATTTGAAATATTTGTAATTTGGAAAACTTAAGATTTTTAAAGATTATGCTAAGACCCTAGCTAAATATATTCTATTGCTTTAAACTAAATCTTAGGATACTTTTTAAGAGAAAGTTTCTAAGGCACCCAGGCAATCAGCTCCTAAGCTTTGTAGAAAAAGGTCTTAAAAAAAAAACAACCCAACGTATATGTACTACAAAACAAAGCTTATTTCTTCCTTCTACTTATGAGTATATCTGTACTTCAGTGTTATACCTGTTCTCCTGCTTGCTGTCTTGCATAGAAAGTTGTCATTTCTGAATACTTATCAATTCTCTACAAGGTAATCATTTCAGTTTCCTCTTCTTTCTTGTTTTCTGGACTAAATGGAAAAAAGGAGTTACTGGGGAGCGTTTTCAAAAGCATACAAATCTTTCTTTTATTTGTAACTCCCCATACTCATTTTAGTAACTACCAAAATAAATGTTCAAATTTTTAAAAACTCATTACATATATCCATAAACTCCAAATTACTCACTATTTTAAAAAATACGTATGTTAACCTTGAAGTGGTGTGTGTGTGGAAGGGAACAAATGTACTGTTACCTTTCACTCTAAGCTTTTTTTGTGTGAGTCTTTTTATGGAGAGGGGTTGGGCAAAAGGGTGGGATTTTGTAGTAGCTTAGAAATTCTGTCTTTTCCAAAATTTGGCATGAAAAATAGGGTAAGGCTGTTGAAAATGAAATTGATAAAATTTGAGAAAGAATGGTGTACCTTTTTATTTTCTGAAGATACAGTTCCGAGGTCTGTTATTGTTTGTCCTGTGAAAAGTATATGTTATCCTTTAATTAAAATGTTACTGATAGAAGAGATTATGGTGGACAGAAACTGTAGTTTAGGAGTTATTTAAAATGCTCTAAAGGTGGCTTAAAAGAAAAAACATGAAGTTCCATAGTAAGGAGTCATTTTTTTCTTTTTTTTTTAAAAGAGCAACATAGAGAGCGTGGTCTTTTCTCTTTATTTTATCTTATCAGTTTTATTTTAAAGCAGGGCCATTAAGAAAGAGTAGGTGTATACTAAAAAATCCTTCAAGGTCTCCAGAATTATATAGTGTTATTGTGCTTTCCTTGCACCAACTGCACACCTGTGTTACTTGGAGCTTATTTTATTCTTGACATTATACAAAATATGTTTTTATATATTTTTACAGTTAATATTGAAATATTTGGTTTTTTAAATAAGCACTGATATCTAGATATACTACTTAATGTTTTAATAATACTCTTCTGAAAGGACAAAAACTAAATGTATCATATGAAAATTAATCTACTTAACTAAACAGGATGAAAACTTTACCTAAGGAATGATTTCTTTTTGTTTTAGGACATCTAAGTTCCTCTTCCATATATCCGGTATGCAGTGCACCCTATTTATTGGCAACTTCATGTTCAGATGAAAAAGTGAGATTCTGGAGATGCAGGGTAACAGCTGCAGAGACTGCCACTTCAGAAAATACTGCAAAAAGTCATCTGGAGTATATCTGGGAAGAATGGCCTTTACTCATTGAGGATGGACTTCCTAGTAGCAGTGTTGTAACTATTCCTGGAAGGCCAATAGAAGTTAGCTGTGCACACACAAATCGTTTAGCTGTAGCCTACAAGCAGACTGCATCTAATGGTAGGTCTTCTCAAGACTTTATGATGCATGTAAGTATTTTTGAATGTGAATCTACAGGAGGTTCATTTTGGATCCTTGAACAGACAATTCATTTAGAGGAATTAAGTGCAATGTTGGACTCTGGTATTAGTATTGATAGCAATTTAGTGGCCTACAATAAACAAGAGGTTTATTTATCTAGTAAAGAGAATATCATGCCATATACAAAGCATTTAGTTCACTTAGACTGGATGTCTAGAGAAGATGGTTCTCATATACTTACTGTAGGAATTGGATCAAAGCTCTTTATGTATGGACAACTGGCTGGCAACGTTCAGGAACAAACTGGTAAAGAAGGCTTGGCATTCCCACTATGGGAGAACACTAAAGTTTTGTCTCAGTCCAAGTTTGTTCTGCTTCGGTGTGTCGATTTGGTTTCTTCAGTAGAAGGATCACCACCTTTTCCTGTTTCTTTATCTTGGGTACGTGATGGTATCCTTGTGGTAGGAATGGACTGCGAGATGCATGTTTATTCCCAGTGGCAGCCACCTTCCAAACAAGAGCCTGTGATCACAGGCTCATATGATGGAAGTACTCCATCCATCGTAAGTTTAATGAAACCGAGTAGTTCATCAGGGTCTGGTTTACACCCACCAAAGAAAATATTAACTCGCTCCATGACTAGTCTTGCACAGAAAATTTGTGGAAAGAAAACTGCATTTGATCTTGATATGGACATGGAAGATTCAGGTCTTTTTGAAGCAGCTCATGCACTCTCACCAACTTTACCTCAGTATCATCCCTTGCAACTTTTAGAACTCATGGATCTTGGTAAAGTGCGTAGAGCTAAGGCCATTTTATCCCATCTCGTTAAATGCATTGCAGGAGAAGTTGTGGCTTTGAATGAAGCAGTATCCAATCATGAACGCCGACTTAGATCTCTTACTATTAGTGCAAGTGGGAGTACCACAAGAGACCCTCCAGCATTCAATAAAACTGAAAATACAGACTACACAGAAATAGATTCCGTGCCCCCTCTCCCTTTATATGCCTTACTTGCTGCGGATGATGATAGCCCTTATTCTTCATCAGAGAAATCCAGTAATTGTAGTCACTTAAACAAAACAAGTCAATTACGTGATGAAAGTTACAATGAACTTTTTCAGATATCAGAACTAACTACTGATGATATTCATATCTTTGAGACAGAAGAAGAAAATACAAAGCCCAAGGTTATTGATCTTTCTCAGTACAATCCAACTTATTTTGGTCCTGAACATGCCCAAGTTCTTTCAGGCCATTTACTTCATTCTAGCTTACCAGGACTCAACCGGATGGAACAGATGTCTTTGATGGCCTTAGCAGATACTATTGCGACTACAAGTACTGATATTGGTGAAAGCAGAGACAGAAACCAAGGTAAAAATGAGTTGTGTTTTATGTTTAAGGAATTTAGGTGGCACAGTGGATAGAGCACTGGACATTAAGTCAGGAAGGCCTGAGTTCAAATGTGACCTCAGAAACTTAATAGTTTTGTGACAACTAGTTAAGTGACTGGTCAAGTCACATAACCTCTGTCTGCTTTAGGTTCCTTTTCTATAAAATAGGGATAATACCTCAATAATTCACAAGTTTGTTGTGAAGATAAAATGAAATGATATTTGTAAAGAGCCTTGCACATCTTAACACATTATGTCCATGCTAGCTATTATCATTATTATGTACTTTATTATTAATTTTTTTTATTTAAAATTTTACAATAGCTTAAAATTTGAAAGGTGTTGACCATTTCTGAGTAGTTTTTCCCAACAAATTTTGCCATGGGAAGCATTTTGAGATTTGAAATATTTTGAAAAACTCAATATCATCCAAATGATTTGGTGTCATGAACTTTACCCCCACTCCCAGATAAAAAGGACCCCAGGGCATTTTTTGAGCAAAATAGAAGCAATTATGGTTGGCATTATATTCAGTGCTGGAAGGGACCTTATAGGCCATCCAATATATCTCTAATTTTATAGATAAGAAAGGTGAGATATAGAGAAGCATTGCCCAAAGTCACAGAGATTTAAACCTATATCCTCTCACTATAGAGTCAGTGGTCTTTCCACTGTACCAGTTTTTATCTTGGGGATGGGGTGGTTAAGGAGGGAGGAGAAGAAAACCCTGACCATATATAAAAGTGCTATGTAAATAATTTCTTATTTAATATTGTAGAGGGAATAGTATCACTGACATCAATATTTTCCTTCCAGAATCTTTGTTCTTATAGTAGAAAACAATTTGGCAAAACACTGTCTTAGAGTAAAAGTAATTGATGTAAATATATTAATTTTTAGCTCTTTGTTTTCATTTTCTCCTCAGCAAAGAGGTAGTGGCACAACAGGGAGAGCACTCTAGTCACAAAGTCAGACCTAAATCTTAGTTCTAACACATTATTTGCTATTTGATCCTGACCAAGTCACTTAATGTTTTGGTAACTTAGTTTTCTTATCTAGTACTACTCACAGAGGAGTTATGAAGACACCCTAAACAACCTCTTTATCTTATTACAATTATTTAATTTATATGATAAGCTTTAGCTCCCTCAACTCAATTCATGAGAGATAGATTCGAGTTGCACCTCCAAAATTTACTAATTATTTGATAGTGAGAAAGTAATTTTAACTTCTTCAAGCCTCAATTTCCTTCCCCTTTAGGGTAATTGTGAAGAAAGTGTTTTGTTAATGCTAAAGATGGTGTAAGATTTTAAAGTTTGTGAAGCACTTTTGTTATAACAACCCTAAGAGATAGTGGAGACATTATTATCCTCTTTTTATAAATGATAAACCTGAAGCTCAAAGAGATTTGTTATTGGCCCGTGATCATGTCCCCTGACTTCAAATCCAAGTCTCTGTGAGTGCCAGGATGCCTCTGAAATATATGTGATTATGAATTACATTAAATACTATATACCTTGAAGAAATACCTAACAATTTTCCTTGTTTACAAAAAAAGATCAAGCATGCCAATATAATTAAATTGCCTATATAACAGCATCTTATTTTCCATAATAAGAAATCTTTTCATTTTTACTTTATTTCATACTCAACACTTTATTTCCTCAATTTAACAATGTGTTTCAATTTCTTTTTCTTATATGCATAGTATCTTATTGGTTAGGCTCATCATGTCAAGTTATGTACTTTTATCTATGCTGGTTATGTACTGAATGGAATTGTTTTCTAGCTTTATTCCAATGAAAATAAGTAAAAGAGTGTATTTTTTGTTCATAGGTGGAGAAACTCTTGATGAATGTGGCTTAAAATTTCTTTTGGCTGTTCGCCTTCATACTTTTCTCACAACTTCCCTTCCACCTGTCTATCGAGCTCAACTCCTTCACCAAGGTATACTTAAATGGACATAAGAATATATTTAAATAAGAAACTTACCTTACCTGTTTATAGTAATGATGACATGATTATTTGGACACACCTCAGGTATGGAGTAATTTTATGAAATATAGTTTCTTCAAGATTTGTTTCCAGTTAATAGGAATTTTTATAGATAAAGGTCCAACTTTGAAGGTGGGGTGACCTGAGTTCAAGTCTTCCTTATGATAGTACTAGCTGCGTGACTACATGGAAAAGTCAGTTAACCTGATATCTCAGAGAGGTTCCAAGGTAGGTGCCAGTCTGCACTAATGAAGGGATTTTTCAAAATGAGAGTTTCTTAGTGTCAATGAAATCATAGATCCTTTCCTAGGTCCTCCCTGTTTTCCCTCCTCCCTTCAATAAATCATTGTGAGATGGAGGTTTTGTTTTTAACACTGAGAATTACAACATTCCATTTGTTTTCCTGTTGTCAGGTCTCTCTACTAGTCATTTTGCGTGGGCATTTCATTCTGTAGCAGAAGAAGAGCTACTGAATATGCTGCCTGCCATGCAGAAAGATGATCCCACCTGGTCAGAACTAAGAGCTATGGGTGTAGGGTGGTGGGTTCGAAACACTCGAGTCTTACGCAAGTGCATAGAAAAGGTAAATAATTTAGTGTAAAAATGAACTATTATGCTAACAAGTACTTTTTAGTCATCTGCATTTTTAAAAAATGCTATGATTCAGCACTAACGGTGCTATTTTGAGTTTATGTTGAAACTTATGTTAAATGAATAAATGCTAATAAATATTAATGCTTTTGTCAACAGAATGTAAGCTTTGACTTACTTTTCACATGCTGGCCATAGCTTTATGTTGATTACCGACACTCTGCCTGTCCTCCTGAATCAGTGACCTACTTTTGTAAAGGAGCTGGTTGGGATTTGGGGTACAGTCTTAAATAGTTTAAGAGAGGAAAGGCTTAACTGGAACTTGTTCTTTTTAACCACTCCAGGGAGTTGTGATTTCATCAGTATGGATTACTATCACTAATTATAAATCCTCTACAACTTGTAAAGTTGTTAGGACAAAAAAAATTCCTCACCTCTCTGAGGTAATGCTGGTCTTGGTCCTCAGAGAAGAGACATGAAATCTATCACTAGGCCTATACCTGAAGCATTTCCAGCTTTGTAGGATCTGCCAGAGCTTATATTATGTTGTCATAGACTTCTAGAGCCCCAGTATACCTCCCTGTCTTTGTTGAAGTGGAACTTAAATGTAAACTCATAATCCTGAGATAATTTTTTAAAAAATTAGGAGTCATGGAAAAGTATAGTTAACTATTCTAAGTGCAGAAAGACCTTACAATAGGAATTGGATTTCACAGTTAGATATTTAGGTTTGTAATGATAGGAAAGAATAAGACAAGGAAGAAAGGTCCAGCCTCAGTCCTAGAGGAACTGTGGCTGGGTTAGAGAATGAGAGTTGGGGCAAAGAACAAGGGCAGTAAATCAGAAGTGGCAAGGAATAATTTGTGAGGATTTTCTGCTGGTTACTGACAGGACCCATTAACTCCAGAGTTGTGAGTTAGGGCTAAATTTGCAAAGATTAAAAGGTTGCAGGATCAGGGTGCCAAATGGGATCAAAAAATAACACATAGTGTCTTAGAGCCTTATCCTATTAAAAGAATAGATTCTTTTCCTTCAAGTGTATTAGGTTATAGGGGAACCACGGTATGAATACTGTCCTTTTTCATTCATAGAAGCAACATACATTCTTGTTCTTTTTTCTTTTTATCTTTATATTAATTCAATCATTTAAAAATATATTTTGCTATAAAAACTTTGTCAAAAGGTTTTTGAAAGCATAAATACTTTAATATTCTGGGTCAGGCGTAACTTGGATCAGTATGGTGATTAAACATGAGGTTAGGACACAATGAGGCACCAATGGACCAGAAAATGCAGTAAAGGGAATTTAGTAATTCCTGGTTAAATTAAAATAAAACACAACTTCCTCTGGATTCATTGTGGCAAGTAACAATAGAAAGGCATCTCCATACCTTTAGGACCATGGGAATTCCATTAGTCTCTGATGCCTGTTTCTTTAGGGATATTAAGCCTTTCATGCCTTGGCTGCAAGGAAGCTAAGAACTCTCTAGTCCTTAAGGACCAATCCAGCTTTTATAAAACAATTGCTGCTCCAGCCACCTATTGTTTGCCCCTTTCTGGTTCTTCTTTCCTTTCTCCACTCCAGAAGATCCAGTTCAATTTAATAAATATTAAGTAAATACTATTAGGCATGGTTTTCATATATTCTAAATTATGATGCTCTTTGATTTTTTGATATTTAGAAATAAAATTTTCTCTTTTCTCTAACATCAGTCTTAAAACATTCAATAATATGTAACTAGTATAGGGATAAAAATTTGAGACAACAAAATCCTACCTTATATTTTCCTATCCTATCCCCTCCTATCCTGTCTAACTTATCCTATCTTTTAAACAAACTGAACTATAAATACACAGCTAATGCACACTAATGTTGTACATCTACAAATGGATAGCATTTCGAACATATTTTCTTACTTTAGAAATCATATTTTTCGAAGTGTACATATGAAACATAAGCAAGTATTAAACTGTAGTTTCTGATTACAGGTTGCTAAAGCGGCTTTTTATAGAAAAAATGATCCATTAGATGCTGCCATTTTTTATCTTGCAATGAAGAAGAAGGCTGTGATATGGGGGTTATACAGGTATGGCAGAGAGTTATGTTTTTAATTAGAAGCATTTAATAAACACTAAAATATACTGGGTGAAGAATTGTATTTTTTCCCTTTTGGTGCAGTTTTATGGCTATATTTAGAAAAAATATCTACTGGCTTTTTTCCTTTCACTTGGAAATTGACTTTTTTTTCAATACCCATATTGACAAAACTTTAATAACACAATAATATGGCTGCCATTTTTCATAAATTTTTAAAAAGCAAGTCAATTTACATTGGTTGTTAGGAGTGTCATTCATTGGGTTAATTTAGGAGAAATTTCTTAAGGAGTCATTTTTCTACTTGACTTCTTAAGAATACTCTGAAATAGCTAATAAGCAAGAAATGTCAAGGCTAATGCTGGGACTTGAATGATGCTCTATCCCTATATTTTAATTTAGTTTTAGTTCACTAGAAAAAAAAATACAAGATTTAGTCTCTCCCCAGAGCATTAGGAGTTGAAGTAAATTCTGCACAATCAAATGGATGGACTGTTAGGACTCCATTGGAGCAACCTTAGGGCCAATTTAGTCACTAAATTTCCCAAGGCTGCTTTGGAGAAGATCTTACTCTCTGGGCCTTTATTGCCCAAGGTATTTAAACTAAATTGATCCTCACTATGTCATCAGTAACAGTGTTTATGTAGCAGGAAAAAGATGTCTTTTAAAGTGAAAATTGTGAAGATAATGGAGAAGGCAGAATATTTCCATGGGAAATTTTATTTAGATTTTAAGGTGGTTGTAGTAATGTGCTTTTAAAAATCATTTGTTAGACTTTGGTGAGGGGGCACTATTAGTAATATTTTGATTTCTTGTTTAAAGAATATATGTCATTGTGTTGCGTGGCATGAAATTGTCGTTGGCTACTTATTGCTTTGAAACTATTGCCTAGGCTGGAATTGAATTCCCCAGAAAAGTTCTGATTCTCAGATTTTCTTGATGTTTGTTTTTTCTTTAGATCTCAAAAAGATACCAAGATGACACAGTTTTTTGGACATAATTTTGCAGATGACAGGTGGCGTAAGGCAGCATTAAAGAATGCCTTTTCTTTGCTAGGCAAACAAAGATTTGAACATTCTGCAGCATTTTTTCTTCTGGCTGGTTGCCTGAAAGATGCAGTTGAGGTAATTAGTGAAATGTATATATTTGAATATATTTCTGTATATACAAACATATAATAATTTGTGATAGGAATAGCTTTTAAAACATTTTATTTGTGATGCTACTTCAATTTCTGATTTCATTTTTATATCAAGTTATATGTTATGCCCAATGTTTTGACCTAGAATATTGCAATTAAAAATTTCTATAGAGAAGTAAAAACCTCTCTACATATTTAAGCATCTACTAAGAACCGTATCAAGAGTGGAAAGTGGTAAAAAGATTAGTTGAGACACAGTCACTGTTGTCATGGAGGCAGTAGCATAATGTCTTGAATATAGTGGGTGCTTAAATGTTTGTTGAATTAATTGAATAGGTTGATTATACGTATCACTATATGTTAAATAAAACATGGTACTTGTATCAGAAAGCTACAAAAATAGCACTATACCATCTCTGGGAAAAAATTAGGAAGCCTTGGTGTAGGAGATGATATTTGAAATGGGCTTCAGAATATAAACAGGAATTCAGTAGGTATGTGAAGGTAGATTATATGGGAGGAAAGTAGAATATAGGGCATTACAAACAAAAAGAATAGTGCTAACAAAGTTATGGAGCCAGGAAAGTAGAGAATGTGTGCAGAAAATGACAAAGTAGTATGTACCGGCTGAAGTATAGATATACTACTATGATACATAGGACTGCCCCTATGATTTCATGGGGAAAAAGTAACTCCCAGATAAATAAGTTGGTTCTGTCAATTTAAGTCCTCACCTTCTCTGAAATGTAGACCACTAAGAGAGCATTAAGAAGTTAAATCATGGGCCATCGTAGGGCACGGGGAGGGGAGGATGGCAGGGTCTCTCTGCACATCCCCTTGCAGGGCTTTCAACAGCTGGGAGGTTCCCATAGTGGCCCCAGTGGCCTGGCTGGATGCCCTGCCGCCTTCGTGGGTGGAGTTAGGATGGAGGGGAGGAGTCTTCTTTTCTCCTGGCATTGCTGGATCTGACCCTGGCTGGCTTTCCCAGGGGTGTCTGGACAGAAACCAGGCTCCCGTGATGCCGTAATCACTCAGCTTGTTAGCGCTGGAGAAAGGCATTTGGCTGGAATGAAAAGTAGTACCATCCCTCCTCCTCCATCAAAGATCCGTTGAAATGTATGACTAACTCAAAAAATGAGAACTGAAGCTCAAGTTAAGTGACTTGTCTAGAATCACACAGATTCTAGGCAGAACCAAGGTGGAATATGCTTCTTATTGGATGGTCATTTGTCAGGATGGTGTTTTGTTAAAATTCCTGTGGAAACAAAATATAATTTCATAAGGAAATAATGAATGGAGAAGAGAAAACATCCAGCGAGTGTGAGGGCCCAGGTGCTATGTATGTGAAATTGATATGTTCCGATGGTCATGAATTTATTGTAAAAGGGAGCATATTTTAACATCAGGAACAATAAAAGCCATGTTAAGTGGCCCAGGTCATTTTGCTGAAAATGAAACCAGTGAGGTTAATTTTAGAGAAATTCCATCACATGTGCTATCAAAAGTATGCATGTTTTTTACCTACAAGGTTTGCAACACTAACAGCTCTACAGAGATTCCTGAATTCCCAATCGCACCTGATATTGCACTGGAATTTCTGATGGCTCTGAACTTCCAAGATTGTTAAATAGAATAAATTATAATAAAAAATAAAAACCGGTTAAGATTATTAGCTCTCTGTATACTTCCCATGCTGGTGTTACATAATATAAGGCTACAAATAAGGTTTTACAGGATTGTAGAAGACTTTGAATTCCAAGTTTGATCTTTATGTAATATTACACTGAAGATTTTATTTTTTTTGGGTGAAGAGTGACATTACTAGATGATGTTATAAGAAAGATTAATCTGGCATTAAAGTGAAGTCTGGACTTGGATGGGGGAAGAAAATGAAGGCAAGAAGACCTGTTTGGAGGCAGTAGCTGGGTATATACTATGGTGGTGGTAGCAATAATAATAGAGGAGAGGAATATGGATACAACAAACTACTATGGATATGAGATATTCTAGAAGCAGAATGCATGGGATTTTAGAACTGGGTATAAATGGTAAAGGGTTTAGTATTTCAAATGTAGGTTACTTGGTAAACTTTGGTATTGTTCAGCAAAATTGTAAAGTCAGAAGGAAGAAGGAATCAGGTTAGGGAAAAGATGATATGGTGTTGAATTTGCAGTAACAGGTAGAAATTACTTTAGCTAGTTATAGAAGGGTCTGGAACTAGGGAAGAATTCAGGTCATTATTAGTAAACTGGAAGTCATTTGCAGTGAATTAATATTGAAATCAAGGGAGTATGTGGTATTACTGAAGGAACTGGGAGAGATGAGAAGAGATCTGAGGATAGAAATTTGGGGAAGGGGAAGAAAAGCCAAGAAGAATCCAAGAGAAGGATCCTTTAGGGATCCTCAGACTATGGCCTGAGGGTCAAATACAGTGGGGCCTGTTTAGCCAGCAACTAAGAATGGTTTTCATATTTTTAGTAGAGCAAAACTTTATTTTAAAATGTAAAATTCTAGTTCACGTGGTACAAAAACAATGGGCTCAGGGCAATGGCTCTAGTTTATAAACTCTTGCCTAGGGACTGAAGAGGAGAGCCAGGGGAAGCATCTTTTAGCCTCAGAAGCCAAAAGAAAAAGAGAATATATAGGGAGAGACAGTGATCAGTAATTTCACTACTCGTGAGAAGTCAAAGAGGATATGAGGACTGAGGGAAAAAAATGTTTCTCTTAAGTCATTGATGACTTTGAAGAGAACCATTTCAGTAGAATGGTGCTAAGATCGTAGAGACTGAAGAAAAATATGCAACAGAGCCTTGAAGTTGTTTAAACAAAAATACAACAAGGCAGATTATTTTTGCCTCTGTGAAGAGTATGAATGGAGGCAGGTATTTTCTTCAGGCTTTTAACTAATTTATCTGTATATTTTTCTCTCAGTATGTTTTGATCAGTACTGTCTAATTTACTAGTTCAGTTCTTATGTTTTTTAACTTTTTTTTTCAAGCATTTTTTGGGATCAGGCTAAATAAAGGATAAAAAGATGTTGTAATCCAACATTCATGACATTTTGCAGGGAGGGTCATATGAATTATAAGTGAATTCTGCATTCAAGCCCCTCACCATTAATAAACTTTTATAGTCCAGAAACACTCATTGCTTATTTGGAAAGGCCTTCATTTTGTAGAGTGAAACAAAATTTGTAACTTAAATTCATACCTGTAAATGTAGTGCTCTAAATCTATTTTAAGGAGACACATGACATCAGAAGCCATCCTAGTACAAGTCACACCTAAATTGGAATCCCTTTTAAAACTTACCCAACAAATGGTCAGCTAGCTTTTGCTTGAAGAGCTCCAGAGAGGGATAAGTCCTCTAGCTTCCCAGGTCACCCATTCTGTGTTTGGACAGCTCTGGTTTTTAGGAAAATTTTTCTTACCTTAAACATAAATTTGCAGTTTTTGCCCATTGGCCTTGACTTGTCCTCTAGGACATCTCTTCTATAAGTTAAACACCCCACTTTCCTTCTTCTGACCCCTGTATATGCCCAGAACTTAAGTCCCTTCACCCATCCTGCTTGCCCTCCTTCTGAATATTGACTGGTTTATCAGTGTTCTTACTAGAATATAGTATCAAGAACTGAAATTCCAGATTTCCCTAGGTTGGTTAGTTTTATCGGTTACAAATCTATGACATTGGCAAGTAGTATTTAGTATTATCCTTAATTTTTCAAATCTTTTTTCTTACTACTTTCTAGAAGCTTAATACCAAGTATACTTTTAGACATGAGAGAATCATTCTTTAGGGTTAAAAGTAACAAAACATGGCTTTATTTCTAGGTTTGTCTGGAAAAATTGAATGATGTTCAGTTGGCTTTGGTAATAGCAAGACTTTATGAATCTGAATTTGACACATCTGCAACATACAAATCTATCCTGCATAAAAAAGTTTTGGGAATCGATTCTTCAGTCAAAGAACACCGTTCAGTGAACACGAATATACATGATGATCCTTTCCTTCGGAGTATGGCGTATTGGATCTTGGAAGACTATAGTAGGGCTCTAGATACATTAATAAAACAACCCTTGAGAGAGGAAGAAGGTAATATAAGATTATGGTTTGTAATTTTGAGTTTTATATTTATTCATAAATATGATTTGGGCACATTATATGTCAGCACTATGCTAAAAGTCTGTAAAACCTGCTTCCAGTCTTCCATAATCTTGCAGTCTAGTTCAAGATAAGACCTGTATATAATGTGTGTAATATATCTTTGAATATTCATTGTGTGTATAAGTAATCAAATGTTTTAGAAAAAGTTAGACTTTATTTAATGATGTACTTAATAATAGTTCTGCTGCTTGGAAAAAAATGGAAAAGTGGTACAAGAGATGGAGTCACTTTACCATTTCCATTGCTGTCAGACTGAATCACAGAGAAGCAAAAACAAAATATATATTCAAAGTAGATACAAAGTAATTTTTGGAGGAAAGGTCACTGGCCAAGTCAGGGTAGACTTCCCTTGGGAAGTAGCATGTAAATTAAGATTTGGAGGAAATTAGAGCTCCTAGAGGTAGAGTTGAGTGGGTCCAGGCATGAGGAAAAACTTATACATAGTTAGAGATGGGTAGCGTGTGTTATGTGTGATTAAAAACAAATAGTTCAGTGTGATACAGAGTGTGTGAAGAGTGTTAAATAAACAGACTGTCAGAGAAATAATCTGATACTTCTGGTCTAAGAAAATTAATGAAATTATGATGAACCCAAATTCACATTCTTAAAAAAGTACTAGATAAGCCACTTTCTATGAATTACATCTAGTCCAATCTCTTAGAAATACCTAGAAGGTGTTTTTTTTTCTTCTTTATCCATTTGTTTCATCTCTACTTTTCTTATCTCCCATTACTCTTTAGAGAAAACATTTTTATTTTACTTTCGTTAGTTTCTTCAATTCCCATTTTACCCATCCCTCCTCCTCCCCTGAAGAGAGTGATGAGATGGATTTTGGAATTTTTACGTTTATTTTTATACAAGTACTCAAAATAGGGATGGAGGGGAAGATAATGTATAGATCTTTTTTTTTTCAACCTCCACTTTCTCATTGTTTTAGTTAACACCCTTTTCTGGTTTTTCACCCGGTAGATAGATGAGTAATCATGAGTTACTCTGTGTGTGTTTGTGTGTGTCTGTGTCTGTGTGTCTGTGTGAGAGAGAGAGAGAAAGAGATGGAGGGGGTGTGGGTGTGTTTGTGATATGGATAATGCTGATTTGGCAGTCTGCCAATATAACTACTGGGCAGAAATGTATTCATTTGCATCAGCAAACTATGTTATAACTGTTTTTAACCCATATTTTAACAGATCAGCTACTGAAATACATATAGATTTAAGAAGTTTCTTTGGGTTTTGTATTCATAAATTTGATTTTTTTTTCTTTCAGATCAAGGCATGGCATCTTCCACCTGTAACCCTGCAGTGTTTAATTTCTACAATTACCTCAGGACACATCCACTTTTGCTGAGACGCCATTTTGGTTCTTCTGATGCATCTTCTACACAAATATGCTTAACAGGAGAAAATGGATTAGCAGGCAAAATTAATTTAAGTGAAAGAAGATTGTTTTTCACCACTGCACATGCTCACTTAAAAGCTGGTTGTCCCATGTTGGCTTTAGAGGTATTATCAAAAATGCCTAAAGTCATCAAGAGGACAAAACTTTTTTATAGAACTTGTAGTTTTCCAGATACTAGTAAAGATTGTTCTCCTTCTTCTCCATTAAGATTGGATACAAAGGATTGTAAATCATCTAGTATTGATTGGTCAGAGTGTGTGATAAATGGTTTGAGATCTTCTTCAGATGGTTTATCAGATAAACAATCAAATTCTACTCTTTCATTTGACTGGAGCCAACCAAGTGTTGTATTCCAGGATGAATCTTTAGACCTAAAATGGGATAGTGATAATGATGAAGAAAATGAGGACACACCTCTTTCAATGAAAGAACTAAAACCTTCACAGATAAAAGTGGATGAAAAGATAAATGAAACAAATTCCAGCTACACAGACTCTCTCAGCACAGATGAAAGTGATATATTAAGTCCATCAGAAGATATCATTGCTGTACAGTTGAAATTTAGAGCATGTTTAAAGATTCTTACGATAGAGTTGCGAACATTATCCACTGGCTATGAAATAGATGGTGGGAAATTGAGGTACCAGCTATACCACTGGCTGGAAAAAGAGGTGGTAGCTCTTCAGAAGGCTTGTGACTATTGTTCCGATGTGGAAGATGTACAGTCTGTATTTAGTGAAAATATGGAAGAAGCTGAATTAAGTGAAAATACAAGAGATTTATTTGATCAACCAAAAGTAAATCAATTGAGAGATAATTTCCAGAAGAGACGACAATGGCTTTTGAAGTATCAGTCCCTTCTAAGGATGTTCCTTAGTTACTGTATACTGCATGGGTCTCATGGTGGTGGCCTTGCCTCTGTGAGAATGGAATTGATTCTACTTTTACAAGAATCTCAGCAGGTATGAACCTTAATCTATTTTTTCTAAACATGCATAAAAGACAGCTGAATTTATTCTCCCTTTGCCTTAAAGAAATACATATTTTTAAAATTTAACTGTCATGCTTTGGTATTGTAACACTCAGTGTGAAATAATTACATTTCAGTGTCAGCAATCCTAAGGATCTACTGAATATTGATTTTTTTTAAGGCAGTTGGGGTTAAGTGACTTGCCCAGGGTCACACAGCTAATAAGTGTCAAGTATTTGGTCTGAGGCCGGATTTGAACTCAGGTCCTCCTGATTTCAGGGCCGGTGCTCTATCCACTGTGCCACCTAGCTGCCCCTGAATATTGATTTCTTACTGTGAATGCCAGGGAAGTGTGAAAGAAGCCTTAAGTGTTTATCAGCACTGTGGAAGACAGCTTCCATACCATGGTAACAGTCACAGTAGCAACAATTAAAATTAATGACCTATTTAAATATCTGTCTATGCAAAACACTTTGCTAGGTGCTGAGGAAATGTAAAGATTATATAACATACCTTCTTGGAGCTTGTTCCAATAGGGGGCTAAAATACCAACACAGCTATTATATACTATAGCTAAGTACACATAGAAAGTCCTAACAAGAAGTGTTATTTGATATATAAGAGAATTAAAGTTGTTATTTACTGGGATGGAGATCAATCACGTGGTGGAAAAAATGGCATTTGGGTTGGACTTCAAAGGATGAATAGGAATTTAACAGGTAAAGAGAAGGAATGCCCTCTTATTTTTCAAGAATGTTCCAGAGATAAGGAAGTTGTGTACATTAGCTGCAATATAGATTGTGTGAAGTAAAGTAATGAAACAGTGATTAAAAAGTAGTTTGTACCAGTTGTGGAGGAGTTTTAGTAGATGGCATAAAAATTTAAACTTTACTCATTAGGCATTAGGGGGCCACTGGAGAATTTTGAGCAGCAGAGGGACTCAACCAACTTAATACAAGCAGCCTTATGAGAGATGTATTACTTGTCAAGAGTGAGGACAGAAAGTGTAAAAGGGGAGAGGTCCATTGAGGAACCTATTACAGCATTATGGGTATATTGAAATGAGGGGCTTATACTAGGTTTGATGAGAGTGAGAATAGAAAAGAGGTGAGAGATTTGATGTTGTGGAAGTGAAATATACTGAATCTGTTTTGGACTGATTAGCTATCAGATATGAGGGAGAAAAAGAATCAAAGCTAATCCTGTGATTATAGATATAGGAGCAGTGGTGAATAGTAGAATCATAGACAGAAACCATAAAGGCATAAGGTTTGATGAGAAGAGGTACCAACTCAGTTTTGGATATGTGGGATAATCAGGTAGCCACAATGGAGTTCTGTACATAAATATGGATTTGGAAGTAATTTGATTGGAGGTGGTAGCTGAAGCCTTGGAATGAGATTGTCAAGGGAAAGAAGAGAAGACAACCAATGACAGACCCTTGGAAAATATATTAAAGGGTTGGAAAGAGGATGGAGGAGCCAGTGAAAGAGACTGGGAAGGAGTAATTAGAGGAATAGGAAGAGAGCCAGGGGAATGTGGTGACTCCAGAGCCAAAGCATGAAGAGTATTTAAGAAGAGGCAACAGTATCAAAAGCTCCAGAGAAGTTAAGAAGAGGAAAGAATTTAAAAAGCTATTGGTTTTGATGATTAGAAAGTCATTTGGTGAGATCAGAGGCATTGAAGACTAATTGCATGTGGTCAAAACAAAGTAAGTGATGAGAAAGCAGAGGCCTAACGTAGAGTCATCTTTTTCTCATGATATGTCAAGTGAATAGGAGGAGAATGACAGGACATTAACTGGATTGAATAGTAAAGCATGGTTTGTTTAGGATGGGGATATTCTGACATGTTTGTAGGCAGATGTGAAGAAGCCCTGTTTGATCTTGGATGTTTGTTAATTATCCTTGGAAATGCCTGTATAGCCAGTGACAAACTAATATAGTTTCTTTTTCTTTTTGGTGAAAATCACCAGATCGATTTATTAAAAAAAAAACCTTGGAAAGTATTTTGTTTTTAAATTTCAGCAAGGCGGAAAGGAGCAGAGAACTTGGAATATGATATTCTGTGAATAAGATGGATAAAATATGGACTTGATAGTAGTACATTTATGTGAATTTGTAGCTAGACGACTAACTATATTCGAATATGTAACTAATGGCTCAACATCAAGCTGAAGGGAGGATCTCCAGTGGCATTGTGCAGGGCTTGGTCTTCAGCCTTTTACGAAAATTCTGCAAATTTATCAAATGCTTATTACATGCTGGGGTGTGGATACAACTAGAAAAAATTAGTCCCTGGTCCCATGAGCACACAATCTACTAGGGAGGATATTCTGTTTGTTAAAGTATAATACAACGGAAGATGAAGGCAAAGGAAGATTATTGGCAAGTAAGAAAATTAATTATTTTCTGAATTAGGAAGCCATCTAGTCTAACTCATACCCCCAAAAGAATTTTCCCTATAACATTAGACAATAATTGTTCATTTAGCCTTTGATTAAAGATCACCAGTGAGCGGAAACTAATGTGGTACCCAGAACTGATCGTAGTATTTAAGATATAATCTGAGCAAGTCAGAGTACAGTATAACTCATACCTAAATTCTTTTTTGCACAGCCAAATTTTCATTGGCTTTTTCAGCTGATAGAGCAGCTATTAAGTTTACAATCTATTAAAAACCTTTGATCTTTTTCAGACAAACTTGTCTAGCCATGCCTTCTCATCTTAAATCTGAAATTGATTTTTTTGAACCTAAATGTAAGACTCTTAAATCTCATCTCAATAAATTCAGCCTAATGTTCTAACCTGTTGGCATCACTTTGGAGGTACTTTGTGTCATTTGCAAATCTGACTAGCATGCCATCTTTGATTTATTTAAGTTATTGATGAAAATCTTAAACAACATATGCTAAATACATATACCTGGGACACTCCAATGAAAACTCCTTTTAAGTTGACAATTGCCGTCAAAGCATTGACTATTCTCTGAGTCTGTTTATTCAAGCTCGTTCCAGATTTATTTAATTGTACTACTATTTGGCCCATATTTCTTCATTTTTTTCTTTCTTTCTTTTTTGCTTTTGGAGGCAGTCAGGGTTAAGTGTCTTGCCCAGGTGTCTGAGGCTAGATTTAAAGTCAAGTCCTCCTAACTCCAGGGCCGGTGCTCTATCTACTGCTATATTTTTCATAAGAATAACACAAATGCTTTATCATATTCTTGACTAAAATCTAGGTAAACTACTTGATTCCCCAATCTACCACTGAAATACCTGTTGTCCATTTTAACTGGAGTAGTAGGACTGCTCCAGTTAAAATGTATTAGGAAGACTAGAAGCGTAATTGAGCAGATAAATAACAAAATCAGTAGAAATAATATGATTGTCTCAGCAGATACAGAAAAAGTTTTTGACAAGTATTGCATCTATTCCTATTAAAAACACGAGAGAGCATAGGAATAAAAGGAGCTTTATTTAAAGTGTTAAATAGTTTCTATCTAAAACCGTCAGCAAGCATTATCTATAATGAGGATAACCTAGAAGACTTCCCATTGAGATCAGGAATGAAGCAAGGATGCCCATTATCACCACTATTATTCAGTATTGTACTAGAAATATTAGCTGTAGCAATAAGAGAAGAAAAAGACATTGAGAGAATTAGAATAGGCAGTTTCCTGTACTATCACTCTTTGTAGATGAATGATGACATAGAATCCTAGAGAATTAGCTAAAAAACTAATTGAAATAATAAACAACTTTAGCAAAGTTGCATGATATAAAATAAGCCTACACAGATCATCAGCATTTCTATTTATTACCAACAAAGCCCAGCAGCAAGAGATGGAAAGATAAATTCCATTTAAAATAACTAAGGATATAATAAAAAGTGTTTGGGAGTCTACCTGTCAACATAAACCCAGGAACTATATGAACACAATTACAACTTTTCACACAGATAAAGTCAGATCAAACCACTGGAAAAGTATCAATTGCTCATGGGTAGGCTGAGCCAATGTAATAAAAATAACAATTCTACCTAAATTAATTTACTTATTCAGTGCCATACCAGTCAAACTACCAAAAAATATTTTATAGAGCTAGAAAAAGTAATAACAAAATTCGTCTAGAAAACAAAAGATCAAAAATGTTAAGGGAATTAATGAAAAAAAAATGCAAAGGAAGCTGTGCCAGATCTAAAACTATATTATAAGGTGGCAATTATCAAAACTACTTGGTACTAGGTAAGAAATAGAGTGATGGATTAGTGGAATAGATTAGACACATAAGACACAGTAGTAAATGACTATAGTAATCTAGTGTTTGATAAACCCAAAGACTGTAGCTTCTGGGATAAGAACTCACTATTTGACAAAAACTCCTGGGAAAACTAGAAAATAGTATGGCAGGAAGGATCTTACACCATCTTACACCGTATACCAAGATAAGGTCAAAATGGGTACATGGATCCAGATAGAAAAGATGATACCTTAAGCAAATTAGGAGAGCAAGAAATAGTTTACCTGTCAGATCTGTGGAGAAGGGAGTAATTTTTAACCAAACAAGTGAGACAGTGTGTTATGAGGTGTAAAATTCATAATTATAATTATTATTAATTTTAAAGGGTTTGCACAAACAAAACCAATGCAACCATAATTAGAAGGAAGCAGAAAACTATGAAACAATTTTATAGCAAGTGTCTCTGATAAAGGCCTTATTTCTCAAATACAGAGAGAAAACTGAGTCAGATTTATAAGAATAAGAGCCATTCCCCATTTGATAAAGGGTCAAAGGATATGAGCAGGCAGTTTTCAGATGAAGAAATCAGAGCTATCTATACTCATATGAACAAAGGCTCTAAATCACTATTGATTAGAAAATGCAAATTAAAACAACTCTGAGGTTCCACCTCACACCTGTCTGATTGGCTAATATAACAGAAAAGGAAAGTGATAAATTTTGGAGTGGATGTGGGAAAATTGGGATGCTTAATACATTATTGGTGGTGTTGTAAACGGATCAACCATTCTGGAGAACAATTTAGAACTATGCCCAATCAAACTGTACATACCCTTTGATCCCGCAATACCACTAGTAGGTCTGTATCCCAAAGAGATCATAAAAAAAAAGGACCTACATGTACTTGATAGCAGCTCTTTTTATGATGGCAAAAAAATTGGAAGTTGAGGGAATGCCCATCAATTGAGGAATGGCTGAATAAGTTGTTGTATATGAATGTAATGGTATACTATTGTGCTATAAGAAATGATGAGCAGGCTGATTTCAGAAAAACCTGGAAAGACTTAAAATAACTGATACAAAGTGAAGAGAGCAAAACATTCACAGTAATAGCAACATTATAAGATGATCAAGTGTGAATGATTTAGCTCTTCTTAGCAATACAATGATCCAAGACAATTCTGGAGGATTCATGATGGAAAATGCTATCCAAATCTAGAGAGGTAACTGCATTTTAACTGGAGCATAAAGTACTTTTGTTGATTTGCAAAAAATCATAAAAGACAAGGTTGCATGAGGAATAGCTAATATGTTGGATAACAGAATCAAGTTTCAAAAATATATGGACAAACTGGAAAAATAGTTCAAAACAGATACAAATTACAACAATTTTAAAGTCTTCCACTTGGCCTAAAAAATCCAATTGCACCAGTACAGACTGAGAACAAAGAAAAGACTTAAGAGGGCAGCTAGATGGTGCTGTAGATAGAGTACCAGCCCTGTATTGATGAAGACCTGAGTTCAAATGTGGCCTCAGACACTTGACACTTACTAGCTATGTGACCCTGGCCAAATCACTTCACCCCACTGTATAGCAAAAAAACAAAGACAAAGGAAAAATGTTTTTTCTTGGTGCAAGCTCAGTATCAATTATTAATACAATGTCAAAAAAGCTAAGGTTGTTTATAAGTATACTGCCCTGATCCTGGGACATTATTGTATCATATATTAGTCAGACTACTCCTGTATCATTATGTTCAGTTCAGAGCACTTCACTACCAGCCTGTCTAAAGAAAGGTAACCGAGATTGTGCAAAGCCATGTCACAAGAAGGTTAGTTGGAAGAACATGGGGATGTCTTGCTTAGAAAGAACATTTAAAGGAAATATATTAGAGCTCATCAAATATATGAAAGATTTTCACATGGCAGAGGAATTGCAATTTATTTTATGTAGCTTTAGAGTTATGCCAAGAGGTGAAATTTAAAAGAAAGCACATTTTGGTTAAAGGTATATATAAAAAGTTGGAATAATTACACTAGTTTGAAAGTGGAATGAGCTTCCATGTATGATATTAAGATCTTCATTAGTGGAAGTGTTGATGAATCCCATGTATCAGAGGTATTGTAGAGAGAATCCTTGCTTTGAGTGAGAGGTTGAACTTAATTACCTCTTAAGTTCTCCTTTCTGGATAAATCTGTGTGTTCAGATATGCAGAATTTAATCTATTTGTTTAGCATGTTATTCTTTCTGAAATTTATTCCAGTGAGCCACTACATTTCTTCATTAGTTAGGCTGAAATAGTATTATGAGATCTGTAATTGCTTGATTCGTTTTCTTTTCTTTTTTCTAGGAAACATTAGAACCAGTTTTTCCTGGCCCTCTGCCAGATCAAACCTCAATACCTCTCCTCTTCGCATGTACAGCCAGTGCCAAAACAGTAGTTGCCAATCCTCTATTGCACCTTAGTAATTTGACTCATGATATACTCCATGCCATAATAAACCTTGATTCTCCACCCCATCCTGACACCCAGAATAATAAAGTAAGTATACTTGGTTTAGCTTTTTGTCCTTTCTTTTCCCGTGTATGTAAAACTGCTAGTATCTAAAAGAGGCACTGAACACAATTATTTTTTTATAACTAATTTTATGTTATTTCAAATGAAGAAGAATATCTTTGTAATGTAGATTGTCATCATTAGATGAACACAAATTTATGTTCTCATAGAAATAAAGTTTAAATATTGATGAAAATCCTAGGCTATCCTACATATGCCACTATATGTAGTATAATTTTATGGTCATCGTGTTTACTGATAGTTGTTTAATGGTCTTTTGCTTTTTACCTATATTTGGTTTTCATTGATAATAGGCAATAACTTTCTATAAGCTTTACTATTTCTATCCATCAGAAGCTACTGATTTATTTTATTTTTCTTAAATGAGCTCTCTTTTACAGAAACAACTGTAGTTTTTGTTAAAATTAACATATATTTAATTGGAAAAGACTGGTTTTTTTTTTAAATGGTAGCCTCACATTGAGTTTATTTCCTATTATCACAAAAAGTGCTACGCATATTTTGTATATATCTATTTGGTATATATGATGATTTCCTTTTTGTCAATAAGAATTGGAGGTATACACCTGCTGGTAGAATATCTGGGTCAGAGGGTATGAGCATTTTAATAATTTTATTTGAAAAATTCCAAATTCCATTCCACAGCTCCACCAACAATCCATGATGTGATTGTCTTTCCACAACTCTTGCAACTTTGACTGTCCTGATTCTTTGTCATCTTTGCTGTTTTCTGAGCATAGGGTGAAACTTCAGGGTTATTTTGGTTTGTATTTCTCCTGTTTATTGATTTCTAGGATTCTTTCATATGGTGAGATTATTTAATTCTATATACTTTGAAAAATTATATTCTGTGGGTTTTTTTTTTCAGGTATATGTAATGCATACTTTAGCAGCATCTCTCTCTGCCTGTATTTATCAGTGTCTTTGTGGTGGCCATAACTATAGGTAAATACCTTTTTTATTAATATTTAAGGATACTCTTATTACCCAAGAAAGATTTGTTGCATTGTACCATTTTAAAATCCTATGTAAAACCAAACAAAATAATATTTTAATAAATAACCCTCTCAGAACTTTTTACCCATTAATTGAACTTGAGCCTTGTCATAAAGTCACATGAACTTGAATTCCGTCAGACCGAAAAAAAGAAAGATTAGACTAATGAGTACAGTGGATACTTGGCATGTATATACTTCTTGTCACTTCAGTTGTGTTTTTGTTTTAAGTTTGAGGTCATTCATTCTATGTTTTTAGATGATGGCAAAGACCTTTGCCTTGGTGCTTAGGTTTCTGTTAGTAGGTGAAAATAGATATTTGATAGCCAAAATTAAAAGCACAGTTTGGCAACATTAGGTTTGAACAAACTAGATACTCAAGTTCACAGTTACCTACCATAGGGCTAAAGCTAATCAGAAGTCTACACTAAGTTTGACATCAATATGGCCCTTGGGAGAGAGGGGTAGTCAGCAGGCTAATTAAGGAGGGATTGGGCCTGTGAGTGGTTATTTCGCTTCTAATTTGAGCAAGATAGGATACCCAACCTCAGAAAATAACAAAATAAATAAAATTTACATGACTGAAACAAAGATAACTTTGTAACAGTAAAATAACACAATGTAACATCAAAATTTAACTAAAACTGCATCTATATTTGAAAGCCATTCTGGATATGAAAACTAAAGTCAGGAAAATATTGCATTGGACACTAATAATAATAACTACAAATATTGTATCTTTTCCATAGTTCATTGCAAACAAATCAGTTTACTGGAATGGTATACCAGACATTGCTATTTCCTCACCGGCACTCCTTGAAAACAAGCTTAGATGAAACAATAACTCCCAATACATCTCCAGCTCAATGGCCAGGTACAAGTTACTTATTTTAGATGTTTGATAATCTATTCAATCTTTGTGAACATTAAAAAAACTTATTACTGTCTTTTGTTCTTATGTCACTTGTATGTTTCATACTGTAGTCTCACACTTTTGAAATGAAGGCACATTTTCTCTTCTTCTGGGCCAAGCTTATTATAGTCATCTAAAATTCTTAAACTTTTTAAAATCTTATATTAAGTGCCAGATTTTTGGCCCCAAAAAAGGTTTATCAAATAAAAAATGATCATCATTAAATAGTATAACTGTACAGATAATAAAAATTATACAATCATTTTAAATGTTAATTTTTTCCTTAATTATTAGGTCAAAATATAGCAGTCAGCAATTTAGTATTTGAATTTTACCATGTTTATAGTAGTAATTCAGTTTTATTGGTAGCACCATTCCCTACTTGTTAATATCTTCTAAATTATTTTCATAACAACACTTGGATCCTTTTTTTTTCCTCTTTATGTTTGAAGTATCCTAATGCATTGATCTAGCTGAGATTGTATTCTGCCTGGAGTGATTTTCTTCATTGATGAGAATCATCTTATGTTCTTTGACATTTGACTAAAAACATCATAAGAGATTATTCTTATTTTTAAAACTTCATAGTACATTGTTCTTTTTGTTGTTGTTGCAGGAATTACTGCTCTTATTCGTCTTTTGAATTCTGCTGGGGAGGAAGCTCAGTCGGGACTTACAGTTTTGCTTTGTGAAATTCTCACGGCAGTTTATCTTAGTCTCTTCATCCATGGTCTGGCAACACATTCTAGTAATGTGCTATTTCGGATTGTGGCCCATCCTCTAAATGAAAAAATGTGGTCTGCTGTATTTGGTGGAGGAGCACATATTCCTAGCAAAGAACAAACATCATCAAAAGCTGTAACTGGTTAGTTTTTGCTTTCTTTAATACTGAGAAATTCTCCCTAATTTTAAAAAGTGTGGATTATTCTGATAACTTTTTAAAGATAAAAGTATTAAATCATTAAGTCCATGTGACTTAGATTTAGTCACTGTTTAGAATTTGCTCTAAAGCAAATTCTTTTCATTCAAGGGGACAAATTGGTTTTGAAGTGGAGAGAATATTTCATATTAAGTGAGGACTTCTTATGCTATTTTCAGTCCCCAAGCTTGTACTGCCAGTAATGTATTTAAGCTCTTTTAGGATTAAGAAAATATGATTTCCTCACCGTTTATCAAAAATGTTTTAAGTAATTTCATAAACTGTAAATATTGGCCTTTTCTTCCACTACTGCAAGTACAGACTTTCTTTTCTCTTTTGGCAGGAAGATACTTTTCTATGCCTAGTCCACACCAAGTAGTAGTGTTCTCCATGGAGTGTGTGGGGTTTTCCAAAGCTCTTACAGCCATCAGTTCTCATAACACTACCAGTCTTTCAGGCAAGATATTAGATTCAGAAACAGGCTTTTTAGTTCAGTCTGCTATGTGTTTTGGCGGGGAGGGAGGTGGAGGGAAGGGATATGCTATTGTTGCATTTTGGCATTTATAGAAAATAGAGCTTCTCGAGAAAATTCCCTTTCAGCAAGCCATGATCTTGATTCTAAAAATCAATTAGCATTTTAACATGACTCAGTGTCTTAATCTGTCTCCAGTTATTATTAAAGTACTCATTTGACTTTAAAGATTATGATCATGGCAAATGAGAATATGGCTTGAAATAATCAGAAGTGCATTTCAAATGAGGCTACTTTTTTCATATCATGGATATAGATATCAGAATTTTGGATTTCTAAGTGTTCATAATACCATTTAAAGTGAGCTTTTAACATGATATTTGGGAAACAATATAATTGTTTATTGTAGTAAATGATATACCAAGATTTTTTTAAACTTAGTAATAACAGATTTTATAGAATTGAATATTAAAAAAGAAAAAATATTTCTTTTGGGATTTAGCAATCCTTATATCTCTTATTGTTTATAACATAATAATCTCCTGCTTCTAAACCCCCTTTTATCTACAGTTTTTATATTTTGAGTGACTAAAATTTTTAAAATTACCCAACGACCATCTGCAACGCAAATGTCCTTTGTGGAGGAGAAATATAGACTTCTTCATGCATAATTTTATGAAAATCAGTTTTAAGTATAACTGACTGGCAGAAGAAGGTAGGAGGAACATCAAGATTGGGAGGTGAAGGAGAGGGAATTGTGCTTTGGAGTTGTGAAAAGGGACACAAAATTAATTTGAGAAGAAATAATCCTGGAGGATTTCAGGGGAAGGGTTCAAGCCAAAGAGAAAGGTCTGAGGGAAATAAGTAAAGGCGCAAGAGGAAAACTTGAGCATAAGGAGGCCAAAAGTACTCAAGAAGGTGGGGCAAGAATTAGTGCAATACCAGGTGGATAAGAGCAGGAAAATGAAGGTAGTTGTTGCTGTCAGGATGGACATGAAGAGTCTGTCAGTAGCAGAAGAGGTGAGGCAAGTGATAACTGGTGAGTTTTAAACCCTTTACAGGAATTCTGCCACAAAAGTTCTGCTGAGCTGCCATTGGCAAGGAAGATATAATCCAAGATCTCACTTCCAAGTGTGGAGAGCAGGGAAAATTTTGTAGTCAACCTACATTGTGTATGTGTATTGGTATTTGTATGTATTTGTATACATACATGTATTATATTTTTTATTTCTGCAATAGCTAAGCATCTGCTTCTATGCTCAAAAGCACAGGCCAGTTAGTGAGCTAACTAGCATTTATTATGTATGACTACATCCTATGGATTGGCTACATACAGATATTAGCTAATCTAAAATATTTGCTATGGATTAGCTACTGTACAAAACACTTGAGACAAAAACCAGTCCCAGCTCTCAAAGAGCTCAAGAGAAGCTCAGAGGGCTTGAGAAAGACATTCTGCTCTCCATGTTATCTGGGACAATGAATTGTTCCTTAATGACAGATTTCAATGTGGAAAGAAAGAAAAAGCATCTGAAGCAGCATTGCTAATGATGGCAAAGCAGACTATGGCTTGAAATAATCAGAAGTGCATTTCAAATAAGGCTGATCTTCGTCAAGAAGTTTGAGTATTGAAGTATGTGACACACAGGAGAAAGGGATGAAGAATCACTTCTTACTTGGAACTAAGAAATGAATTTGAAGTTTCTGCAGAGGAGGAATCTAGGTACTTGGCTCTGGTGGTGGTGGTGACTTATTGTGATATCCATTTAATATTATTCTGGCAGCTAATTGTGGAGTTTATAACAACAGAGAATTTTCCCATCTTAAGGTATGCGTGCAAGGCATGACAGAGAAGTTCCTCACATTTACTGGTGATTAATACAGGCACAAATGATATAGCCAAAAGGAAACTAGAAAGCATTACTAAAGATTAAGAAATGTTGTGTAAATTAAGGTATTAGGGCATAGATGATGTTTTCATTGCTGTTATCTGTTGAAGGCAAAGGGGTCAGAAAATAAAAGCAGATTTGGAAGGTAGACATCTAGTTAAGAAGATAGTGGCTGAGAATGGGAATTGGATTTCTGTACCATTGCTTTAAAATGTAGGAATGATAGATTTCTGGCAGGTAATGGAGTACATTTAAAAAAGAATAGAGTGCATTTTTTCCAGATTTTTGCAGCTCTAATTAAAAGAGCTTTGAACTAAAAAGGTGATGAGAAATCTACTTAATGCCTGTTCCACCAAACTAGAAAGATTCCAGAGAGATTAGCTGTAATGTATGAAGAAGCAGTTGAGACTCCCAGAAATTCACAGGTGACAAAATATAAGAAAGCTGCCAGTATTAAAAAACCTTGACATCAGATCCCTGTGCACAAATGTACAAAGTATGGTTATTTAATAAGGTGAACTAGAGAACCTAACACAGGTAAGCAAATTTAACATTATCCGTTATCACTGAGATTTTATTAGAGATGACCTAGGGTTGAGTTAAATATGTTAGGATAGTATTAAATATCAAAAAGATGCTATCAGATGAGGAAGCATGGTAGAAAGCATTTCACTTCATTTTAACAGATGTAGAATAAGGAATGACATTGCCACAAAAGTATAGCACATAAACAAAAAGGAAATAGATCTCAAGCCTAGAGGTACAATAGAGTAGCGATAATGGACTGCAATTATCCTGGAATATGTTGGAGTTCTTTTTCTCTGCTAAAAGAAGAGCAGCTAATAATTTATTCATTGGTCACAATAATTTCATCCTTCAGATCATGGTGGAACTAAGAAGGGTAAATTTTATTCTGGTTTTCACCAACAGGGTGGGTCTGGTTGCTGAGGTGGAAATGAGTACTCTGTCTTAGAGTTTCTAAACAGTCTGTCATATGTACTAAATTTTAGGAGATCTGATTTCCAAGAATTAGAAGTACAACTAGGGTTCCATGTTACTGGGGAATTCAACTGGGGTAGGGAAGGAAGTGGGGTAGGATGCAGAGAAAGTTCTAAATGTGAAGCCCCAAATTGGAGGGATAGGGGAAAATTCCAATGAGCAAGAAAAAAGAGAGTTGTCTAAAGAGGCCAGTGTAAATAAATGGATTTTTATACACACTGACAGCAGCAGACAACTTTATTTCCTTCTCTTGGTAACCTTTTATTCTACCAATTTGTTTTACTTCTCTAGACTTCTCAATTCCTTTCTTGACTCCTCATACTTCAGCTCATGTATTCCTTCTGCTCCAAAAACAAGGGAAGAGAAAGGAATCAAAAGGAAGTAATCAACAGTGATGAATCATTCTGAGTGGTCAAGTAGCATGAGAATTCATAAAGGACTATTAGATCTGGTGTTGAAATCATTGGCAACTAGAGAAAGCAGGCTCATATGCATGGTAAAGTCAAAAGCCAGATCGTAGAATAGAATAGAAAGGGAAATGTAGGCACCTAGTAGTATAGATGACTTTCTGAAGCTGATTAGGCAAAAATGGGAGGACAGTTATAGATAGGATGATAGTTAATAGGCATGGTAGGATCAAGCAATCATCTGTTTTTTATTTATTTATTTTGAAGATGGGAAATTCAGGTGTGTTTATAGGCAGCAGGTAGTTAGGGAGCCAGTAGATAGGGAGAGATCTGAAGATGAAAGAGAGGGGAGGGGAATGATACTGCAGCTGATCTTCTGGGAAAGAAGGGAGTGTATTCAATGAAGGGTGCATGTAGAGGGAGGGATATGACTTGGCAAGAAGGGCCACTTCTTCGGCAGAGTGAAGTAGAGGATAGTGGAGGAAGGGATTTGAGATGAAGAAAAGTATGGAAGGGAGGGTTCTCAGTAAATAACCCTAAGTTTTTTTCAGTGAAGTATGAGGTGAGGTCCTCAGCAGAAAAGAAGGGGTGTTGTGGGAGCCTTACAGATAAATTAAAAAGTTTAGAAAAGCATCTGTGTAGAGGGAGATAGTGAATAGATTAGGGAGGAGTAGAATGATTGCCTCACTTTAGCGAGGGCATAGTAGAAATTAGATAACATATATTTGCAGTGGACTGAATCAGTACAGTTTTGTGATTTTCACTAACTCTTCAGCAGCATGATAGTAGTGAAGGAGTAATACAAGAGTATCATCTATGATAAAACAAGGGAATAAGAAATTCAGTAGTAAAGGGTGGTGTAAAGTTCATCTGGTTCATCATGGGTCAAGACAGGGAAAAGAGGAGAGTACATACTTGGCTGAGATGAAGGCCTGGAGAAAGAACTGAAGAGAGAAGGGAATGAAGGTTAGCTCACAAAATAGTCATAGGGGTTCGAAGGCACAGGAAAAGATGCAGTGATAAAAGATTATAATTGGATAGAGAAAGAGTTGATATATAGGGAAGTAGAGATCAAGGTCAATGCTATGACCTTCCCTGTGTGAAGCTGGAGTAGAGTAGTTAGGTCACAGCATCTAAGTAGATTGACGAAGTAAATGTATTTGAAGGCTTATTATTTTG